AATGGAATTCATTATCTTTCTCCTTAAACCCTCCCTCCCTCTTGCCTTCCCTATTAATGTAGAGGGCAATACCATCTTCCCAGTCCCTTAGGCTTGTAATCTAGGATTCATCCTGGACTCCTCATTCTCTCTCATCCCCCACATCCAATCTTTTGTCAAAGCCCATTGACTTTGCCTTTCAATATCTCTGTAACATGCCCTTTTCTCTTCTCTGGTATTGCCACCTCTCTAGTGCAGGTCCTCATCCCCTTATGCCTAGATTATTGCTAGAGTCTGCTAGTGGGTCTGCCTGCCTCGAGTCTCTCTCCATTCCAATCCATCCTCCATTCAGCCAACAAAGTGATTTTCCTAAAGCATAGGTCTGATCATGTCACCACCCTATTCAATAAACTCCCAAGGCTCCCTATCGTTTCAGGATCAAATACAAAATGCTCTGTTTGTTATTCAAAGCCCTTCATAACCTAGCTCCCTACCTTTCCAAGTCTTCTTACACCTTACAACCCGCCATGTACCCTTCAATCCAGTGACATTGGCCTCTTGGCTGCTCCATAGACAAAACACTCCATCTCTCCTCCCCAGGCATTCTCTCTGACTGTCCCCCATGCCTGGAACACTCTCTCTTCTCTGTTCTGGCTACTGACCTCCCTGGCTTCCCAATCTAAATCCCACCATCTATAGGAAGCCTTTCCCAACCTATTTTAATTCCAGTGGCTTCCCCCTCTCTTCCCTCTGAACCCTCCTTCACACTGTTGCCAGAAAAACCTTTCTTATTCATAGACTTCATCATGTCTGCCGACATGTTTTCAGTGGCTCCCCTGAGTATGAAGGAGATCACGTGTTTGAGCCTTACACTAAAAAAGCAGTAGCAAGTATCTAAAGTCAATGGTTAATAATCATAATGTTGGATAAAAAACAACTTTGTAGCAAAAAAAAATTTTGATACAGGAAGTCCCCAGCTTATAAATAGGTTCTATCTAAAAGTTAATTTCTAAGTCTGTTGCCTGGAACTCGTAACACATATTCCAGTAGAAATAACCTTACAAATGCTATTTGGGTTCCCAAAGCAGCTCGCAAAAGCCACCTAAGTCAAGTAATATTGAATATAACCACCATGTGTAAAACATTTTTTATGACAATGTTTTCCGATATCCAGTCTGCAGGTGAATAACTTCCCTACATGTCCTGCCCACCATGGAGGGGGTGGCTTCCGTTCATTTATCCACTCCCCTTTTTCTTTGCCTGTAGAGGTGAGAGTAGGGATAGGGATAGGTTAAAGGGCTGGGAATAAGAGTAGAGAGATTATGAGTTTCTGGGAGTTGGGGCAGGCATTCTACCAGGACGAAGGGTAACTGTGCGTGGTGTATAAGGAGGATTTGGAGACGTGTGCGCCAAGCCTTTGTGCTGCTACAAATCCTCTAGGAAGTAGTGGCTAAATCAGAGATTACTTGGAAAACAAAATCCTAAACAGATTGGAAAGTAGTAAATTACTCTCAGTCGAAGGTTAAAGAAGAGATTGATTGAGAAGTAAGTTGTGGTAAGGTAAGAATATGGAGGAGGTATCAGGATGCCGTGGAGATGCCACTTGCTATATGTTTAGTGAGTCACTTAAACCTCTCTAGGTCTCAGTTTTATCATCTGTAAAATGAATGGGCTGGCCTCTCAGGTACCTTCTAGACCTATGATTCTATGGTCATCAAATATGGCCTTGGGTGGTCATCTCTCTTCATATGATTTTATTAAGATGAGGAGATGGAGGGGCAGCTAGGTGGCTCAGTGGATAGAGCAATGGCCCTGGAGTCAGGAGGACCTGAGTTCAGATTCTGCCTCAGACACATAATACTCACTAGCTGTGTGACTCCGTGCAAGGCGCTTAACCCTGATTGCCTCACTTAAAAAAAAAAAAAAAGATGAGGAGTTGGAACTATATAACTATGAAGATACTCTGAATAATTCATTATTGTTTTGCTTCTTATTACCTTGCTCGTTGAGGAATTCCCCTTATACTTAATGTTGGAGTTTCCAGAAGTGAATGTGCTAGGTTTCTTTTCTTTTCTTTCTTTCTTTCTTTCTTTCTTTGTTCCTTTCTTTCTTTCTCTCCCTTCCTTTCTCTTTTCTTTCTTGCTCTCTTTCTTCTTTCTTCCTTTCTTTTTCCTTTCTTTTTCTTTCTTTTCTCTCTTTATTTCTCTCTCTCTCTCCCTTCCTCTCTTCCTCTTTCTTTTTTCTTTCTTTCTTAGAACTATAATTTCCTTGGTAAAAGGAGTTACTACTGAGGAAATTTGCAGATCTGCAGCTACTCTTAGAGAGTTGCCTTAGAGGCACTGACAGGTCAGGGAACTACCTGGTATCACACTACTAGTGCGTGTTAGAGGCAGAATTTGAACCCAGGTCTTCCTGATTTCAGCTGTACTACCCTATGCCTCCTCTGCAGTGGTTGTATGTAGCTCCAATCATTTATTGTCTAGAAATCAATAAAACAGTAAATTAAGACCTAATTTTGCTGACATCAGACACATAAGTGCTCACACTGAGACTTCTAACAACTGGGCTGATTTGAGCTGGCTCGAGCACACCCCTCTACAGTTGTAAGAGCCTCAAAGCAACTTCAGATGAAATAGAATGAAATGAATCATCCCTAACACAGAGAAGCAATGCCAGTCCAGTGGGCAGAGCTGAGAGGACTGTGGGGGCCAGGTCCAGAATGACCATCTCTAGCTTTGCCCTTGCATGGGATATCTCTGAGGCCTTGGTGAGACCACCTCATCTCTCTTTGCTCCTTGTTTTTCCTTAAAATGGAGGTAAGGCTCACACTAGACTCCAGTGATCCTGTTTCCCTGAGTACCTTATAAATAAATGCTAAGTATCATTTGTTGATCCAAATTCTCCCAAGGAGTAACATAATCCTTCCCCACACCCCCACCCTCAGTGCTAGCTCAGCACTTTGGGGGCCCTGCCTCAGCTCCTCTGGGCTGCTCCCTAGATAGCCTGCAGCAGTATTCCAGAACACTGAAACTGTTATTTTGAATTAAGGTCTTATTATTCCCATTTTAAAGATACAGAAATATGGGATTCTGCCCCTCCCTCCCCCAAAGCACACAGCTTTCTTACTACACTGAGTCCTCCGGTTTCTAATTCTAAGTGAGGGATAAAATGGTGGTTTCCTCCAGTTGCTCCCCCCATTTCCCTGCCCCTCCCCACCCCCAACACACACACACACACACACACACACTCCCTACCACCGATTCCTTTTTCTTCATTTCTAAAACCACATTCCTTGTTTTGCCTAATATTTCAGCAGTGGGGTTGGCAGTCACAAAGCCCAGTGATAACTGCGATTGTAATGTCCTTTCAAGTGCACCCAACTCTGGGAAGGACTTGTGCTCAGCTCTGTTTTATCCAGGATCTCATTTAGCCAGAGGAAAAGTGCTTTGTGGGTTGGATTCTGTTACTACTAAGACCTCTGTGGACTGGCAGGAATTCAAATGGTTAGTGACTGCATTTAATCTCTTAATAGAAATGAGAGACTCAAAGTAAAAACGAAAGAATCCAAAAGGGTTTTCATGTATGTTACATCACATCTCATTCTAAATGTATAATTGGATTGATCAATAAGCATTTATTAAATGCCTGCTGTATGATAGGCACTGAAAGTGTACCAGTGTGGTCACCGTCCCTTTGTTTGGTTGGCTCCCCTCCCCTCCCCCCACCTCCGTGCACAGACAGGGAGACTTCTTCTGTTTGTGGGGAGCAAGGAAGTGGCTAATGGCACCAAGAAATGAGGCAGCAGAACAGGGATGCCCAGATAAGGTCAAGATCTTAGAGCCTGAGAAAGGGGACAGAACCTGCCTCTCAGCCACCAGGAATTTAACCTGGACGAGTGAGGGGGAGAAGTGAACAGGACAGGAGTGGGGCAGCGAGTTTTTGTCCCAGTCGGGGCTGCCCTTGCCCACATCCCTGCTTCACCTGGGAAGAGGCAGCTGTTATAAGAAACAGTGAGAGCTGCCTGACAGCAACAGGACGCTGAATGTAAAAATACCGTTTCTCGGAGCATTAGTTTTCACCTGGTCTCGAGCCCATGCCCCTGCTTTAAGGAGGAACTGAATCTCAGAATAAGCTCCTGAGTCTTTACATAATGACTGACCCTACCAGATGGCAAAAGTCAAACACTGACTGGGAACAATGTCATATTGTCTACACTTCACCTTCTTGCAGGCCTGTGGATAGAAGGGGTTAAATAGACAGGATTGTGCTTTCCTTGAGTGGCCTTTATTTTATCTAGACACTGCCTGGGTCTGGGTGAGACTGAAGGTACACAACTGTACAGTAAATAGATGTTTTCCCCATTCTTCTTATTCTTTTGTAAAGGGTTCCTAGGCAGAGTAAATAAATTTCAATCCTGGTCTTGCATGATCTTGGACAAATTACTTCTCTGAGCCTTGGTTTCCTCATCTGTAAAATGGACTAGGTGACCTTTGAGGGCCCTTCCAACTCTAAATTGATGAGTCTGTGAAGCATTGTATATAGTTAAGTGGGCTTGTCTCTTCCTGTGCGGAGGTGTTTCCATTGTACCAAGACTGACCAAGATGGATAGCACTCAATGAAATTGAGTGGGTTCAGAGAAGATGCAGGTTTTACAGCAGAACTCATTCCAATTGGATAAATCCCCAAGAAACACACCCTTTAGACTGATAGACGGGCTTGGCTGCTGAGACACAGACAGAGCTGGGGTCATTTGCCTTCGGAGATCCATAGAGAGCTGGGAACCTTTGCAGACTTTACACTCTAGGGTGAGAGGTACTTTCAAGTCCTGCCATGTAAGATCAGCTTGTTAGCTCCCAGGGCCACCTGGCGGTTAAAGGCATGTCCACTAACATACACAGAATTCCACTGGCTGCCAAGGATGCCTCCTGGCACCACTTTTGAAAGCCCCAGGTGATGCTGGTGTTGGGGCTGTGCTTCTCTCTCACTGCATACATGGAGAGTTTATAAAAAACAGACACCAGTTAATGTTTCCTTTTTATTCCTGTAGAGACAGACAATTCATTTGATGGTCTCATTGTCCAGAAATCCAGATCCCTCAGTTTCTTATGTCTGTAGTTCATACATGCATATTAAGGCAAATTCTCTGCCCACTTTTGTAAGTCTGCACCTTGCAGCAGCAAACTGCTGTCAATTCAATTAAATTCAACAAACATTTAATAAACACCTACTATGTGTAAGGCACTATGCTGGGACCCTGGGGATCTAAAGACAGAAGTGAAAAATAGTCCCTGCTTTCAAAGAGCTTACATTCTAATGGGAGATACAAGTAAACATATAAGTAAGGACAAGATAGTTTGTGGAAAGAGATGGCACTAACAAGTAGGGGAAGGAGGAAATGCTTTCTACAGCAGGAGGCCCATGAGGTGAGCCCAGAAGGAAGCTGAGAGTCCTTAGCAAGATGAGGCAAAAGCCAGGAGGGAGTGCAATCCAGGCATGGAAACAGGGGGGACTATGGAAAGGTTTGGGGCAGGAGATGGGATTCCAAGCTGAGAAAATAATAAGCCATTTTAGCTTGAAGTGGAGTATTGTGGGGTATTTGGAAAGTTAATCCCAAGCTAGACTGCAAAGGGCATTGTGTGTCAGGCTGAATGATTTTCATTTTATCCTAGAGAGCCATTGAAGATCTGAGGGGGAGTCAAGTTACATGACCATGGTCAGAACTGCGCCTTAGCAAGATTATTGTGATAGCTGGGTAGAGGATGAATTGGAGAAGGGAAAGACTAGAAGCTGGGAGTCCAATGAGGGGGCTAGTGGAACAGTCCAGGCGAGGGCTGATGAGGGTCTAAACCAGTGTGGTGGCTACGTGAGTGGAGCAGACAGATGCAAGGCATGTTGTGGACCAAACCAAGTGAAGCAGTGAAGTCAAAAGTCAAAAGGACTAGACAATGTGAGAGGGTTTCCTTTGAAGAGGACAGTGTATACAGATTTTTCCAGTACCTATACCCTAAGTCCCGTTGTTTTATGGAGAGGATGAAGGATGACAGCCAAAGTGGGTTTAGATTGCCCACGGTCTGGAGAGATGCAAAATGTGACCACTTAGCTCTGCATGCCTACTACTACCCATGATGCTTAAAATAAAAAATAAACTGAAGAACCAAACAGATAAATATTAATTAGTGAGACAGGCCAGAAAGTCTCATCAAAAACAGCAGCCTGTTTCTCCTTGATTAGAAAATTTAGTTGGTAAAAAAAAAAAAAAGAGTTGTGAATTTAACATGTTGTTAAGAAAAGGCTTTGCAATATCTTAATTGAAAATTGCTAGAAAAACTGACTCCTTGTAAGTGCATTTACAAATAGCACATCTGCTTGTTAGCAAAGCTCTTCTTACAGCAGGCTAAGAGCAAATGACGATGAGGAAAAAGTTCTAGAAAACCAGAAACGGGTGGAAAGCGTCACCCTTTTTGTGGTTGTTTGACCCAAAACAACACTGAGGGGCCACCAGAATTGACTGACTCAGTTATTTTTTTCCCATAGCTTTTTACAAAAATCTTAAATACACATAAACATGTAAACACTGTGCTCTCTGTGAGCAGGTACTGGGCCATGCCACCCTATGTCTTCTGCAGGGACAAACAGATTCAAGTGAGATCTATCAGGCATCAGGTTCAAAACCAGCCATCTGAAGAGCTCTCGGCCTGAGGGGCGAAGACCACCCTGCACATGTCAGAGTTTTCTTGATGAAGAGGGAATTCAGATCCCGGGGACAGCTTTTCTTTTCCTTTTTGGAAGACGTAGCCCTTGCCCGTCGAAAGTCTCTCATGCCTAGTCACGTATCGCCTGCAAAATTCACATTAAAGTTACATTCCCCGGCCAACATGCTGTATAGAAGGCTCCTCTCCACCCCCACCATGTATTGATTTAGATTATAAAACCCAGACCTAAAGCTTAGTCTCCAAAGTGATTTGAGATAGAAGAGTATCTTTTTTTCCCCCTTTGGATTGGATCTTGAAGTAGAAAGAGTTGGGGTGGTTTTGGAGAGAGGGAGAGCTGAGTTTGAATCCTACCTCAGATGCTTACTAACTGTGTGACCCTGAGCAAGTCATGAAACTTCTCTCTGCCTCAGTTTCTTCATCAGCAAAAAGTGCTATACACATATACATGTATACGTGTAATATATGAAAGTGTGCAATTGTTCAAAACAGGGGAAATGTTCTGTGTGAATTTCAGTGTGGTGTACGGAATAGAGAACTGGTGTCTCACTGAGGAAGACCCAAAGTCAAGTCCCGACTGACCCACTGTCCTGGCTGTGAGACCCAGGGCAAAGATCATTTAGCCTCTCCACGCTCTAGACAAGTCATTAAGAATGTAAGTTGCCCAGCAGGTGCCGATAAGATCGATGGTGTCAGAGGGACTTTCTTTGTACAGTGTCCCTTGCACTGGTGAATTCATGGTATGGACCAAAAGAAAGGAAAATCAACTAGGTTCTTACCTGAAAGGTGCCTCCTGCCTGTCCATCTGCATGCAGACCAAGAAGGGATACTGTGAAAACTGCACCGTGGATATAAACTCCAGGCCTGCTTCAGTTTCAAAACTGACTTCTTGGCCGGCATTCACAAAGGAGGAATCCACTGTGATGTCCCCAGTCACTACTAGAGCCACCCTACAGATTAAGATAAAGCAGAAGTTAACATTTAGCACATCTAATCATGTTGTTCCATCATTCAGTAGTGTCTGACCCTTCATGACCCCATGGACCATAGCATGCCAGGCCCTTCTGTCCTCCACTATCTCCCAAAGTCTGTCCAAGACTATGGTCATTGCTTCCATGACACTAACCTATCTATCTCATTCTCGGCTATCCCCTTCTCCTTTTGCTTTCAATCTTTCCCAACAAGCAGCTATAATTTCTCAGTCTGAACTTGAAGAATTCAGACTCAGATGACCAGAAGAAAAGGGCGAAGTTGAAGGCTGGTGTCTTATAGGGCTGTGATAAAAGTGTACCATCATAACCCCAACCAGGGCTCACTGAAAATGGGGAAAGGGGCTTTTAAAATAAATATGAGGCTTCGCCTCCCCGGCCCCTGACAAGGTCTCAATTCTAAGCACTTCAAAATGACCCAAATCCTAGTTGTGGGAACTGTCAGGGAAAGGGAATTAATTGCTGAGTATCAGAAAACTAAGGGGTATGTGTGACAGCCCATGTATCTCACTCTTCCCATAGACTCAAGGATTGTTATTGACCAGACCTGGATTTCAAGAGAATGCAAGTTCCTTTGGAGTAGTCTTTGAATCACAGACTCGAGCACCATGTGTCATACAATAGGTGCTTAATAAATGCTTGTTGATTAATTGAGTTCATAGGTTTAAGAAATTCCCAGTGAGGAACCACCCCCTGCCAATGTAGATCAGCACTTTTTAGAATCTTAGTGTTCGAGTTGCTTGGAGTACTGAGAGGTTGAGGGACTTGCCTAGGGTCACACAACTAGTATGTTTCAGAGACAGAATTTATTAATCTGATAGAATATAAGCTCCTTGCGGACAGGAATTGTTTTCATTTTTTGTTTTTGTGTCCCCAGTGATTAGCACAGTGCCTCCCACATAACAGGCACTTAATACATGTTTGTTGCTTGATTACTGATTTAGAGGAGAGCTTTCTATCCATAATGAGGGGTTCATTTACTGAACTCATGAAAAAGACAGACAACATTTGTGTAAGAGTGCTAATAAAAGGGGTTCTCCGATCAACTGAGCGTGTATTTGGAACTTTGATTGTATCTTCCTATGGTACATATGGACAAGACCCCTTGGTGCCTCCTAGAATAATGTTTATTGACACCTTTGATGGGGTCTTGCTGCAAGAAGAATTGGTTTGCAACATTTTATACCATATACCAAGATAATGTCAAAATGGGTACATGATTTAGACAAAAACGGTGAAAACTATAAGCAAATTAGGAGAGCAAGGAATAGATTATCTATCAGATCTATGGAGAAGGGAAAAATTTATGACCAAACAAGAGATAGAGAACATCATGAATTGCAAAACGGATAATTTTGACTACATTAAATTAAAAAGGTTTTGCACAAACAAAGCCAATGCAACCAAGATTAGAAGGGAAGCAGAAAGCTGGGAAACAATTTTTATAGCCAGGGTCTCTGATAAAGGCCTCATTTCTAATTATATATACGGAACTGAGTCATATCTATAACAACACAAGTCATTCCCCAGTTGATAAATGATACGAATAGCCAGTTTTCAGATGAATAAATTAAAGTTATCTATATCCACATGAAAAAGTATTCTAAATCTCTATTGAGTAGAGAAACGCAAATTAAAACTCTGAGGTACCATATCACACATATCAGATTCGATACCATAACAAAACAGGAAAATGATAAACATTGGAGAAGATGTGGGAAAACTGGAACACTAATGGCATTGTTTGTGGAGTTGTGAACTGATCCATCCATTCTGGAGAACAATCTGGAACTATCCCCAAAGGGATATAAAACTGTGCATACCCTTTGATACAGAAATACCACTACTAGGTCTGTATCCCAAAGAGATCATAAAAAAGAGAAAATGACCCACATGTACAACAATATTTATAGCAGCTCTTTCTTGGGTGGCAAAGAATTGGAAGTTGAGGGGATACTCATCAATTGGGGAATGGTTGAACAAGGTATAGTATATGAATGTAATGAAATACTATTATTCCATAAGAAATAGTGAGCAGACAGACTTCAGAAAAACCTGAAAAGACTTGCATGAACTGATGGTGAATGAAGTGAGTAGAACCAGAACACTGTACACAGCAACAGCAACATTGTGCAATGACCGACTTTGATAGACTTAACTCTTCTGAGCAATGCAGTGATCTAAGACAATTCCAAAAGACTCATGATGGAAAATGCTATCCAGATCCAGAGAAAGAACTAGGGAGTCTGAATGCTGATCAAAATGTACTATTTTCTGTTTCTTCTGTTGTTTTTTTGTTTTTTCTTTCTCATGGTTTTTCCCTTTTGTTCTGATTCTTCTTTCACAACATGACTAATGTGGAAATACATTTAATATGATCATACATGTATAGCCTATATCAGATCACATGCTGTGTTGGGGAGGTGGGAAGGGAGGAAGGGAGAAAATTTAGAACTCAAAATCTTATAAAAGCAAATGCTGAAAACTAAAAATAAATAATTTCTTTTAAAAAAGAAGAAATGGCTTGCTCATACTCTTATGGGACAGGCTGTTCTTTGTGCTAACCTATCAATGGGAGCCCACAAAGCCTTTTAGCCATTTTGGCTTTCTGCCTTTCAGCAAAGCTAGGATTAGACCAAGGTCATGGTAAGGTAAGCTTTTTTTAGCCAGCACTTTCTCTAGTAAGTGTGTATTTAGAGTCAATATAAAATTGCTTCTTGGAAACAGTCACCTGTATCTACTTTTTATTTAAAGGTTGAATAGCAATTGCTATTTGAATAAGTATAAAATGTCATTCATTTTTCAACTTCCTAAAGTAGGGGGCAGAATAGACTGTTTTAAAGAAAATGTATAAGCCTGGTAAATTCTAATTGCTTAGGTCAAATATTCTGTTGTCTTTTATTATTTCCAAAGCAAAGAGCTTTGGGGGAAATTGTGGAGAGCTCAGGCAATGTCTTGCCTCTTCTCCACCATCTTGGCTCTGCCTCTTCCCAAAGCAAAGAGCCTTGGAAAGCTCTGCATAGAAAATATTTCCAAAAAAGAGGATGTATCTTCAGTGAAGGTCTTAATTCAATTGGTGTGCCCTCTGGTGGCCTGTTCCTTTCTCATATCTCATTTCTATTTATTTCTGGAGAAAGCTGGAGTGGTAGTGACCCCTTTTGGCAACCCCAATCACAGTATTTCTTTTAGGAGAAAATATTCTGCTTTGGGATAGGTATCAATTCCTAGGCCCACTGTCTAAGACAGATATAATTTTAGATTTTATTACCCCTATCCATCTCATGCCATCCATGTGTTTAAAAGTCAGGGGAGATTAAAAAATGAATGAGCTCTTTATTTATTCTTGGTAAAATGTACTTGTTGGGAACTTTGTAGAAAAAAAGATAGTTTAGGTACAAGTTAGATTAGATGACTTCGAGGCTCCATTCTAACTGTGAGTCTTCTATTCTAATACCTAATATGGAAAACAATCATACTGATGATCTCATATATATATGTTGTTTTAAGTCCAGAATAAAAATCTTTTATTCAATCCAATCAAATGAATCTATCTTCCTACAAAATGAAAGGTAAAGGAACTGGGATCATTTTGCCTGGAAAAAGGAAGGCTGATAGATGTCAAAGTCATCTTTAAAGCTATGAAATTACATAGCAAGAAAAGAGACTCAAAGTTACCTGTTTCCAATAAGGAAGTGAAAGAGGAATGGGTAATACGTAAAATGAATGATATGTTTCACTATGTAGGGGAATTTCCTGGCAGTGAGTTGTTAAACACTATGATGAGCTTCTAAGAGAGGTTGAAACAAATCCCCCTGTATTCTACGTGATCCCCATTCTTTTGCTCAATGATTGAGCCAAAGTGACCCAACCTGCAGCTCCTTGGAAATGGCTCCATCTCTTAGCCTTCTGCCTTTGTACACTGTCCCCCAGGCCTGTGGTACAATCCCTTATCTCTACCCTCAGAAGTTCTAGTCTCCATCAAAACTCATTTCAAGCAAGACCTTTTCAATAAGGCCTTTCCAGATCCCTCCTCTCCCAAACTGCCTTGTTGTGTTTGTTTTTGTATACATTGTGCATCTTCTTAAATGTGGGCATGTGGTCTCCCTTAATGGAATGTAAGCTACTTGAGGGCAGGGATTATTTCATGTTAGTCTTTCTCTGGTACACTGATGCCTAATAAATATTGATTGATTGATTTATTCTACAATGAGCTTTAAAACTAGAATATATTCTGAGCTGACTGAGGCAGCTTATATGTTGTCATAACTAAGGGCAGGAATGTGGTCACATACAGCTCTGTGATATTAAAACTTATAATCAAAAAGCATAGCTGGTGGAGCCAGGACAGAGGAGTACAGGCAGCAACCTGACTGAGCTCGCCCAACATTCCCCTCCAAAGAACTTTACAGTAACTCCTCAAATCAAATTTCGGAGCAGCAGAGCCAACGAGAGACAACTTAGGAGGTCTGCAAGGGAGGTCTGTGACACCAGGGTGGGCGTCAGCCCATATCAGCACACTGTGACCACTGATAAAATGGTCAAAGAAGGTATAAGCAGGCAATTTTGGGAAGAAGAAATCAAAGTTATCAATAATCACATGGAAAAATGCTCTAAATCACTACTGATTAGAAAGATGCAAAATAGTAACTGAGGTACTACACCTCACACCTATCAGAAATAACAAAGGCTGGAGAGTATGAGGAAAAATAGGGATACTAATAAACTGTTGGTGGAGTTGTGAACTGGCCCAAATATCCTGGAGAACTTTTGGAATTATTCCCCAAAAGCATAAAAAACTGATTACACGTTTTGACTCAGCAATACCACTACTAAGTCTGTACTCCAAAGAGATCAAAGAAAAAGGAAAAATACCTATATGTACAAAAAATTTACAGCAGCTCTTTCTGTGTGTTGGCAAAGAATCAAAAATTGAGGGGATACCCATCAGCTGGGGAATGGCGGGGCAGCTACATGGCGCAGTGGATAGAGCTCCGGCCTTGGAGTCAGGAGGATCTGAGTTCAAATCCGGTCTCAGACACATAACACACAACACTTACTAGCTGTGTGACCCTGGGCAAGTCACTTAACCCTGATTGAATAGCAAAAAAAAAAAGAATTGGGGAATGGCTGGACAAGGTGTGCATATGACTGTGACAGAGTACTATTGTGCTATAAGAAATAATGAGGGGTGTGGTTTCAGGAAAAAAAAATATGGCAAGACCTATATGAACTGATGCAAAATGAAGTGAAAAGAACTGAGAGATCATTGAACACAATAACAGCAATGTTCTAAGGATGATCAATTGTGAAAGACTTGGCTACTCTGATCCAAGAAAATTCCAAAGGACTCATGATGAAAAACTCCTATCCACCTCCAGAGAAAAAACTGATACACTCTAAGTGCAAATTGAAATATAATTTTCTCACTTTCTTAATTTTTTTCACTTTTTTTGCAATATGGGTAATACGGAAATGTGCTTTGCATGATTTCACACATATAATTGATATCATTTTCTTGCCTTTCAGTGGGTTGGGGAGGCTTTGGAAGGAGGAAGACAATTTGGAACTCAAGATTTAAAAAGAAGAATGTTTAAAATAAATAATAAATTTATTTTTTAAAAGAGAAAATTTATGGAGGCAAGAGTTAGAACGTTTAGTGCAAGAAACAAGGATGCCAGTGACAGTGAATTATGGATTATGGGAGGTATGGGGTAAGGCGTGAGAAGACTGAGAAGTCAGGAAGAGGTGAGGTTATGAAGGACTTTAAATGGAAAAATAGAAAATCTTATATTTGATCATGGAAATGATCAGGAGCCACTGGAGTTTATGAAAGGAGGGGGTCTGTGTTTTAGGAAGATCAAGTTGATAGTTGAGTGGACAGCGAATTGTAATGGGGAGAAATTTGAGGCAGGGAAACCAACTGAAAGGCTATTGCAATTGTCCAGGTATGAGATAACAAAGGTCTCTCTATGAGAGATATTACAAAGGATAACAACCTAGGTTTTAAACCTTGGTGACAAGAAAGATGCTGGTGCTCTCCATAGTAACAGGGAGAAGGACTGGAGAGAAAGATAAGTTTGGTTTTAGACATGTCCAGTAGTCAGTTGGAAGTAAGAGTCTGGAAGTTAGGGTGAGATAAGTAGATCTGAGTATCATCAGCATGGAGATGATAATGAATCCATGGGAGTTGATAAGATCACAAAGTGAAATGTAGGAAAAAGTGGGGGAAAAAGAGAAGATAGGGCAGAGTTTTAAGGGACACCCACAATTACTTGGATAAGAGAAGGGGGTGGTAGGAGGTAAGAGGTCTCATTTCTTAAAAGTTTACTTAATCTTTTGGGTTTAAACATCTACTTTTTTTTTCCTTAAGCTGGGAATTGTGATAAAGCTATTGATCAGCTACATAAAAAGAAAGCATAGCTATGTGTACTTGAAATCCTGAGAAGTTCAGATTTAATTTCCACGGTTCTTGGATCACAGTACATGTTGAAATGCTCACCGGTTTTTCACTCGGGTTTTAGACTCGCGATACCATAGGCTGAATTCCATTGCACCTGAAATATCAATAGCCAGACCTCCCTGGAACTCCACATTGGCTTTCAGCCCAGACTGCAACTGGATCACCTAGAAGCAGAGAAGAAGCCACATGTTAATGCAGACACTTTCCAAAGGCACATTTCCATTAGGCCTCCATCTTCTCTTCCCCCCAACCCCAGTGGAAATTCAGAATGGAAAGTTGCAGTCGGAAATACTCAGAGTCAATTTTCAGAACATGGCAAAATGTTAAGTTTTCCATTGGGATGCCATTTAGGAAGCACATTTCCCAGTGCATGGAAAAAGGTCATATTCTTCCACTAAAAGAGGGATGAAAATAATGTTTAAAATGCAGGTGATCAAATACATTTATTTTAAGAACTGTGATATTTTCTTTGAGTGCCAAGAAACCTAAGACTTACGAGGGATTTATTCCCATTTTGTTGTATTCTTTTCCACAATTGCTATTATGATTACAAGCTAGGAGAGAGGCTGACTACCTTATCTAGACTTGCATACACCCCTGCACTAGGAGAGCACTATTTATAAGTCAAGTTTAATCAATATTTGACAAATGAATGAGTTACTTAAGCAAGTCCAGCATTTGGGAAGTGTTATCAGATTTTGAAAAATCTTACAGATGGAAACAAAAAAATAGAAGAATTAATCAATTAACAAGGATCGATGAGCCATGCCCTGTGCTAGGGATATAAAGATAAAAATGAAACAGTCCCTGCCCTCAAGGAGCTTATATTCTACAGGAAAAAAAAAACAAATACACATATGAGTATATACACAATATATTCAAAGTAAGTACAAAATAATTTGGCGGGGAGGAAGATTAGCCACGGACACCATGCACAGTCTTGCTCCCCAGGGGTGACGTTGGTAAAGTACATGCTCTCTCCGGGAATGGATCACTTATAATTTGAAGGATCTAAACGATGGCTTCCTTGTATAATACACAACATCTCTCCTTTGAGTTCTCATTGGCATGTTCTCATTCACCGCATGGAAAGTTTTAAGACGGTCATTTCTTAGGAGGAGAAAAGGTCCAGAAGCCAAGAAAAGCCCACCTTTCCTTGAACCAAGATGCATTGGGCAGAGCCTGGGAGCAGAGGGATGAGTCAGCCGGCCTCTCAAGGCCCTTCATCCCCACTCATGGGCTGTGTGAGCTCTGGACACCTGTGTCCTGGTGGCCAAACTGGCAGTAAGAAGCATCAGTTGCTGAGGTGGTGTGCAAGTTCCTGGAACTGATGATCAAGTCAGGAAAGGGCTGGCAGGCTGATTTAAAATAAAGCCACAATTCGAGTTTGCTGTTTGACCTTTGGCATGGCAGCAAGTCAGCAGCAAAGAGTAACTGGCCTCACAGGCATTTTCCAGACAAGCTGGGCAGTGCGGTGAGAGGCCCAAACCCTCTGGCCTGGGTCTGTGGTGATAGTTACCTCCAATTCCTGACATTTTCAGCAAGTGCAGATCAGGGAGGTGGCTGGACCCATGTGATGTGGGGGTCAGTTTTAGAAGGGATAATAGCCCTGGGGCTGAGCAACACCAGCCTGAGTTTAGATAGACATGCAAGCCTTAGAACATCACTGATTCTAGCAAGATGCCCAACTTCTTTATATAACTGACCTACTCAGCCTAAATCAATTATCTTTTCATCCACTACAAAACAAAATCACCCCCCTCCCTCCACACAAATAGACCCCTATTTTATTCTCTAAAGGAAAAGATAGATGCCAATCTACCAGGATTTCCAACAAATGAGGCAGGAAATCTTAAGCAAAGGGGATATAAACCCAATTATTGAGGAACTCAAAAAGTATAATTGAGGCTTGCCCCTAATTTCAGTTTAAAAGATAATTTCAGATGAAAGTCCAAGCTTCTCAGTGCATTCATCTGAACCCAGATAAGCATTTGAGAGCAGAAGTGAAAATCCCTGTATCTCTGCTTAGGCTACACTATTATGATGGCCGGAGCCTAATGAATTATAATTAATATAAAGGAATATGAATGAAAATAGCCAGAGAAAATTGCACATAATATATTCTCTCAGTCACTTCTTTCTAATTAGTGGTGCTTCAAAACCATGTCATCCCAGGCTCACTAGCTTTCCTTTTCTTTCTTTCATTTCTCAGGTTGAGACGCCGAGATTGGAGAATGGGCTGATTCGTACCTCACTGCTTTATATCCAGGGGTCTCACACCCCAGATCTACCACTGGGAGAGACCTCAGAGGCCATCCGGATCAATATATTTTCAACATTTTATAGAGGAGGAATATCAATAATTAATATTTTACAGAGGAGGAAACTGAGGCTTAGGCAGATTAAGTGATTTTCCAGAGGTCACACACTTTCTCTTTCCTCCATACTCTCAATCGAGCCATCTACCAGGACACCAGGCCTAGACAGCTGTGGGCATCTAGCCATTTGCCCTGATGTGAACTCTCTCCTCTCCTGCCCCTCTCCTATCTCTTGCTTAGGGAATAATATTTAATTTGGCATTAACTTTGCTAATGAGTAGGTCAGTTATATAAAGAAGTTGGGCATCTTGCTAGAATCAGTGATGTTCTAAGTCTTGCATGACTATCTAAACTCGGTAGATGGCACAACCATCTACTACCCTGTAAGCCTGCCTATAATCCCTGTAACTGCCCTGGACCAAAGCTTCTGTCCTCGGCCCCTCTTCCCTAATATGTATTTTATCCCACTATTAAGCTTTTTAATGGCAAGGCTTGTGTCTTTGTTGTATTTGTAAACCTATTCTGTTACAGTGCCTGACACACAGTAGGTGCTTAATAAAAGCTTATTGATTTATCAAGCTTAAAATTCATCTTGCTGGGTATCCTAAGATATTATTTGAAGAAGAGTCAATCTGTCTAATGTGAAAATATGTTTAATAGGAATGTATATATAGAGCCTATATCAGATTACATGCTGTCTTGGAGAAGGAGGCAGGGAGGGAGGGGGAGAAAATTTAAAACTCAAAAGCTTATGGAAGTGATTATTGAAAACCAAAAATAAATAAATTAATTAAAAAAACAATATTGCTGTTACTGTTAAAAAAAAAGAAGAGTCAGTCTGTGATAAATGTATATACCATGGTGCTCACATTGCATAAATACAGAATGCTAAAACAGACCCCAGATTCAAGAAAGCTCTTCCCATGGCCATGATCCTAATACCTGGCACCAATATGGTGCTTTAAATTTCAGAGTTCTTTTACATCACTTATGTAATGACCCTGTGAGGTAGGTACTACCAGGTATTAGCATCCTCATTTTACAGATGAGGAAATTAAGAATCAGAGAGGTTGAGTATCCTGGCTGTGGTCACCCAGTGTCAGGGTGAGATGTGAAGCCAGGGCTTGCTGATTTCTTGACCAGCAATCTCTTGACTAAAGCAATACTTTCTCCGTAAGCTAGTGTGCTGTTTCTGGGGAGAAATGGTCTTGTTTCATTGTGGCTTTTGATGAATGTTTTAAGCTTATAGGAAATATAATGGATCCTCGAAGAATAGGCCTTCCACGTACCAGGCACTGTGCTAAATGCTGGAAAAACTGCTTCATGACTGAACTCAGAGCTCTGGCCTGGATCCGTGGGGCAGGGCTGCCAGAGGACTATTTTCTTGATGAAAGAGATTATGATGTATTGTACTGTAGTACAAAGGAATTCTCCTTTATCTTCTGAATTGTGAGAAAGTTCTTTCATATAGACAGCAGCAGCATTTATACAGAATTTATCTAGTGCTATAAGATTTGTAAAGCATTTTATAATATTATCTCATCTGATCCTCACAATCCTGGGAAGGAGGTACAATTATCATTCCCATTTTACAGATGAGGAAATGGAGGCAGGCAGAAGTGAAATGACTTGCACTAGGTCACACAACTAGTGAGTGTCTCAGGCTGGATTTGAACTCAGGTCTTTCTGATTCCAGGCCCCACATTCTATCCACTGTGCCAGTTAGCATATAGGAAGTGCCTAGGGTTATGGTTTTGTAAGATGCTGTGAGGGAAATATCAAAGTATTATCGTATTTGAGACAATGCCTCAAATTTATTGGATGCCTCAAACCTTTTTTCTGAGAACTATGAGATGCAGAGGACAAGCGCATGAATTTGTTTCACATATTCCCCCTTATTCGATTTAGCACTAGAAGACTCGGTTCACTTTCAGGCTTAGCTACTCACTAGCTGTGAGATCCCGGGTGACCTTGGACAAGTCTCTTAGCCTGCCTGAGCTTCAGTTTCCTCAGCTCTAAAATGAGAATAATAATAGTCCCACTACCGACCTCACGAGGTTGTTGTGCGGACCCAGTGAAGGAATGCGAGTACGGCACTATGACGTACATCACAAACGTTTCTGCTTCAGGAACAAACTTCTCTCGGGCATGCTTTGTTGCTGCACTTTGGACAGCTCCCTGCCCTGCTGACATTTGGGGAGCGGGCTCTTTCCTGGCTATTGAGAAGCTAGCTACCCACTAAGCTGATTCTGCTAGCTAGATGGCTTACTTTGTCTGAGTAGCAATACTCCTAGCGCAGGAGGGCAAGCACAGAGTAATTCATCTACCCTGCTTGGTAGAGCAGGGCATCTGCTGCCAAGCTTTCTTTCAATGTCAGCACTTGACCTAAAGTGATATGTGTCCCTGCTCCTGGGAGCTGCAAGTCGATCCATTACTGGTGTGCTCTTCAAAGTCAATGCTTGCCCTTACAGTCACTGGAGTCCTACCAGAGGAGTCACTTTGCCCTGGGGAAAGTCTGCTTATCACGCTCTGGTTTAACGAAAGGAGAGTATGTCCATCTTTCCTCCCAACTGATTCACACACTGGATTATGACCCCAATGGGACTGGTTCTGGATTCAGCTCGTCTGTCCCCACTGACTGACCACCACGGATAGAAGATGCACCAGGAGGGATGGAACTGTCTTGAGACTCATTTTCTCCAGTGTGGTCTCCTCCATCTCCATTCATGCTTCTGGGCATTTTCTCCTATTTATCCTGTACATATCTTGCTTAAACATAGTTGTCTTCAAAGCATCTCCTCCATTAGTCTGTGATGTCCTTGAGAGAGGGCCCGTTTTTTGTTTCTTTTTGTACCCCCAGCACTTAGTAGAGTGCCTGGTATTAGTAAGCGCTTAATAAATGTTGATTGATATTCAATGTGAGAAATGCCTAAATACATTTTAGGTTGTTTTTAAGAGACATCTATCATCAGTACAACATTCTCACAGAGACTGGATTACAGTGTGAAATTCTGATATGATGAAAGAACTAATCTTGGGGGAGCTAGAGTAAAACAATCTCTTCACTTTTCTAGTTTCCAAATCCTATGATTCTATCATAAGAGCTGATGTTGCATAACTTTTAGCTGAAACAAGCGGTGACAAAACAGACAAAAGTGAAAGAATTGTGCTGCCGGAAGTACCTTAGAAAGCATCTACTCTATGCCTCTCACTTAACAGGTGAGGAAATGAAGATTCAGAAACTGGATTGAACCAAGGTCATGAAGAGAGAGATATGGGAAGTGGGGGCAGGGGGACAAGCATTTATTAAGCTCCTGCTATGTATCGGACACTGTCCTACCATTGTCTCACTGGAGCCTCATCACAATCCCATGAAACAGGCACTCTTACTAGCTGAGAATAGAACTATGCTCTCCTGATTTCCAGTCCAGAGCTCTGCATTTATTTTTTTAAGTTAATACAAATAAACCAACAAAATGTCCAACCAGCAAAAAGAGTAAGGCTTAGAGTTGCTAAGTACACAACCCAGTAACCTTTTACAACTATACCCAGTCATGAGTTGGAACCAACTCATATTAGATCATGACAGCCTATTGTTAAATTTTCAGTGTATTTGCACATCAGAAATTGCCAACCCTACAAATTAGAGCTTGATTTATGATTTTGTTGATTGTCTAGACTTAATAAAATGATGGAAAAAATTGTTAATAATGTTAAAAAGTACCTTATGTACACCCCCCCCAGCTGTTAAATATCTACCAGCACATCCCTGCTTATATCTACGATGCAGTGCCACGAATGTTGTTCCTAAAATTGTCATGCTAAAAGAGTCATGAAATGGGACTGATACATTTCAAAAATATTTTTGGCAAAATGTTTAAACCAAAAGGATTTTTTTAACCTTCTTTAATCATTCAAATATCCATTCCTCAAGCATCTAGGTAACTGAAGTTTAACTACGAGAACAGGTTTGTTGCCCTCTTGTTAAAGCACTATGTTACCAGATTGTGAGCTAACCAGGGATGTTGATAAAGTCCTTGATGAGGAAGACAAGGATCAAGTGAATAATGTACAAGTAATGTCCGAGTGTGCAAGAGGCTCCTCGGTGCTTACTGGTGACCAAAAGTGAATAATAAAAGGAATCCCATTCTCCGCAAGTGTTGGAATAGGAGGGGAGCCATGTGAAATTCTGCTAATGTGAGCAAATTTTATTTAAAGTCTTCATGAAATGTGATCCTGGGGCTAATTTTAGAACCATTGATGTAGACCTAGAAGGAATCATGGAGACCACCTGTTCTAATACCAAACATACACATAAGGAAACTGAGGCACACAGAGGTTAAGTGGCTTGCCCAAATACACACATATACAGAAAGAGACAGGATTTGAATTCAGGTCCTGACGCTATAGTTAGTGATTCTCCCACTGTATCAGCAAAGCCAATAGTCTAGCAAGGGTAGAGATTAGCAGCAATGGCAGACATGAATTTTGATGTCATCTCGTTCTGGTATCTGCCTTCAGGACAGACTTTGCTCTAAGTTCTCTTGCTTGGCAAAGCCAAGGGGACGGGACAATCCCGTGCCTGCTTCATGACATCAACGGTGGCTTCCATGGGGGCAGCTGGGTGGTGCAGTGGATAGAGCACCAGCCCTGGATTCAGGAGGACCTGAGTTCAAATCTGGCCTCAGACCAAACCCTTGACACTTACTAGCTGTGTGACCCTGGGCAAGTCACTTAACCCCAATTGCCTAAAAATTAAAAAAGCAGCTTCCTCCATATTTCCTTTGTGTCATCAGTACCAATACTTTCCCTCTGTGCTGAAGAGTGAGCAGGGCATTTCTTAGCAAATGTATAAATGTGCAAGAGGCTCCTCGGTGCTTACTGGTGACCAACAAAGAAAAGAGGCGGAAGGTGAGGACCAGGTGGAGACGGGAGTGAGTGACGGCGGCCTCACTGGTTACCTGGGAGTAATCCGTCAGCAGGACGAGTCCTTTCACCACACTGATGGGGTCCCCAGACGCTGACAGCATCTTGGCCATCAAATCGCTGTATCCGCTGAAAAAGGTGACCGGTCTGAGCTGGACATCAAACAGGATGGCAGACATGCCGGCAAAGGAATCAAGGTTCTCCTCGCCCTCATCAGGGGTGGCTGCAATCAAGGCTTCTAGTCCTTGAGCTTCAATAACCACCTGGAAAGAGAAAGACTGCCGTGACATCCGCGGCCTGGCTGCCCAGGAAGAACACGGCTCGGCGGACGGGGGACGCGGGCCGTGACGGTTAGCAGCCGGAGAGCCCAAGCGGTTGCCGGAAAGGTCAAGTATCCAGAGCAGAGGATCTTAGCCTCATCTGTCACCCCTTGGGCATCCTGGAAACCTTTCCAGAATAACCTGCTTAAATAACTGAAGGGAATGTTAAATTTCAGTTAGAGATTAATAAAAATAAAGATGTATTTTTTTTTCTATCCAACTTCATAGACTCCCTGAAATCTATCCTGGGGTCTGCAGATTGCAGGTTAAGAACACCCGATCTAAAGGAAGGTATCTGGTATATGAGGCAGGGTTCAGGAAGGACAAAGAAAAGAACTGGTCAGGATGAGAAATGCTTTAATCTATACCGTGGGGGATAGTATTTGCTCTGCTGAGACCACAGAGCCATTGGAATATTGAAGCATAACCAATACAGGATCACAGATATGGACCTGGCAGGGGCCTCGGAGACTGGGTAGTACAACGTGCTCATTTTGCAGATGAGGAAACTGAGGCTCAGCAAGGCGAAGGCACTTGGCAAAGATCACCCGCCTTGAACTTTAGGTCACAGTGCGGCTACTGAACTCAGAGCTAAGATGCTTATGCAGCTGTGTTTTCCCTTAGAAAATGAACATCTAACTAAAATGCAGTAAAGTCTGGGAAGCAGCACTCAGTTCCGTGAGTTAGCTTGCTTGAATTGGGAGCCCCAGCTGGATCCCTTCAGCATTCCAGGGATTCTGGAGAAATTTCACCTGGAAGGCTTAAACCTAGACTGTGTATGAGGTCCAGAGCAGAAGGGTCCCTAGTGGGAGAGGGAGGCCCAGTGGGGTGGGGGAAGGAAGGACATTCAGTTGACCTAATCCCTTTGGAGAGAGCCCCATGTCTTGGGAACTCTATCCAGATTTTCCCTGTGAGTGGAGAAACTTAATTCCCTTTCCCCTTTTCTTTTCACTGGGTTAGAGAAGGCCTTTGCAAGGACCGAGACATGGAGAGCATTTTGTAAAACGCTGTCTGCTTGCTAAAACTGTATCACCTTGCATTTGGGAATGAGTGTTCTGTTTCAGTCCACTAGCTATAGTAAGCCTGCATCCGTGTGGAGAAATACTAGTTTTAAGATTCTTTGAGAATGGTGCCACATGGACTTTGTGAAAAGCACTCTGGTTTGATTTGCAAGGGACAATAAATGCATAAGTTCACAAGGAGGTATTTTTCATCAGTATTATTCAGGACAATGAAAAGAATCATATCTTTTTTTGGATGAGGCTAAAGGTCTGGAAATTGGCCATTCATTGAGTGCTATGCTCTATTCTTTCCATCTCTAGAAATACCATGAAAAGAACACAGCTAACTTTTCAGACTTGTCATATTAAATTAGTCAGTCTAAGAAAGTCGGGTACTCCTTGTGACATGATACTGGTAGAGGAAACCCAAATAATTATTACTTGGGGTTCTAGGGAATTACATTAGTAGATCAAGTCAAACTTTTGTGAGAAAGGTGAGGGACGAGGGGCACAAATTATATTTTATGACAATGTGAGCCTGGTCGTGAATTTTTTCATAGGTTCATTTTTTAAAAAAAGTCATACATATATCTAGTACATTTTCTGATGTTATCATCAGTCTCTTGCAGAAAATTTTACCACGGCTTAAACCAAAATCATTACTAACCTTAGTTTTTATAGTGTCCATCTTTGGTAAATTTTGACCTCTGCCCAATTTTTTTGTTTGTTTAGTGAAAATGATAATTCTCTACATGGAAAGAGAATTACCTGGCTAGCATGAAGATGAATATCCTCCAAGTACTGAAAGATGTTCAAGTTACTTCTCCGTAAAATACCAGAGCCAGAGTAGAGAATATCAAGGCTGTAAGTGGATGCTGAATGAGAATCACCTAATGGCGACAAAAGTCCAGGTTGTAAGTTAGTAACGATTCCCCACAAACATACAAGCCAGGGGGTGAAGGAGAAAAGAACAAGGGCTATTTGTCCAGTTACTTACGTTCCATATAGCCAGTATAGGCAGAGGAGGAGCCACTCTTGGAGAAACGGTTGTAATTGTGAACAACCATTTCTTTTAGGACTCGCCGGACCATTTTGCTGCAATAGACAAAAAGAGAAAGCTTGTATTTTAGTGGTAACAAAATGTCTCTTTTCCAAGTTAAATTTGGCTGGGCTTGAAGGAGACAGTGCAGAGAGAGAAAAAGAAAAACTAAATCTTCCTAATGCTATTCTAAGATTAAAGGAGAGGAAGGAGAGAAAGACACGTTACAGCTCAACTCTTCTATTTCTTTGACATTTGGAAATTAATTCAATGCAAAAGTGAGAGTTGTGAGAGGGTATCCAGTAGAAGAGGAACCTGCTGAGCTGATTAGGTGGCTGGATCCCATTAACAGGATGCAGCTTGTATGAGGAAAATGAGTGTAGGATCACTGAACCCTTTGTGTGGAAGATGTACCAAAGCAGAGGTGGTCTAAGACATTGGTAGAGTGAAAGTGAGTGGCCTTTGAAGTCTGGAGGACCCAAGTCCAAATCCTGCCTCTGGCATGTGCTATTGGTAAGACCTTGGACAAATTACTTAACCACCATGGGCCTCAGTTTCCTCATTTGTAAAATGAGGGTGTTGGTAGAAGGTCCTAGCCAGGACTCAATCTATGACCTATAGACCTAGAGGTTTTTTTCTAGATCCTCTTAGAAGATCACGAGTTAAGGAATTGCAAAATAGAAGAAACTGAAGCTCAGAGAGGCTGTAATTTGTCCAAGCTCCCTCAGAGCCAAGGCCCTTGTGACCTGCTCAGTCCTTTATTCTTTGCATTTCACTACATGGCCTTACTTTGTATTTTAACAATTTTATACTAAGACTGGCTATAAAGAGAGGCAGTGTGGCATAATAGATAAAGACCTGGCCTTGGAGCCATGTAGACTGGCTACATGACCCTGGGAGGGGTCTGCTGGGAAATGTTTGACAGCTGAGAATGCAGGACACATTTCAGTTTAATCTTCATTATGAACATTTTCTCCATCATTTTCTTAAAGCCTAGACAATCAACAAAATAAAAGTGAGCCCCAACGTGTAACATTTGGGATTTCTGAGGTGTTCACACAGAAAATCTAACAGTAGCCTCTGGCTGGCCCCAACAAAATCCTGGACCGAGTGCCTCACGTAACTCTCTGAGAAAAATGGCAAAGAAGAGGTGTCAGTCTACACTGGTAGAGGATGGTTCCTCACTGGCAGTCACAGATCTGGTTCTTCCTGTGCTCCCTCCACTGGACCCTCCCACGAAGCTGTGAAAGTAGGTCCTTCTGACCATGAGGCAGGTTCTCGATCCATCACACCACGCTGCCCCCTTTATAACCAGTCCTAGGAGAAAATGCAAAGCAAAGCAGCACGGCGGGGGCGGGGATCAGAGTCCTGGGTCATTGGGCAGAAGAAGCCTCTGGCTCCCTGAGGGATCATGGGAATTTTACCACACCTTCTCTGAGCTTTGCTTTTTTTCTTCTGGACATTGGACAACATAAATCCTGAGGTCCCTTGGCACACATACAAAAGACCTAAGGGAATGAATAGTATTCATGTTTTGGGCATCAGCACAATACTAATGCGGGATGTGTGTGCGTGTGTGCGTGTGCACATGTGTGTGTGTGTGTGGTTGGGGGGGGCGGTTTTCTTCTCCAGCCTGCTATGTGCCATCTTCAGCAGAACCTCAGCCTACTCTTTAGTTCTGGACAATGGGACACCACCAACCTTGGTCTGGTCCCACACAGACCACCTGAAGGGATACTCTACCTTGAAGGCAACTGAAAGCGCAGAATGTCCTGGACCATCGATAGCATGTATTTGTCCATTTCTTTGGGGAGCTCGCCAATAGAAAGCAGGAGGTTTTTGACTTCCATGTAAGACGGATTATTATTCAGGATGATGGTGGCTGCGGTGGTACGCACTGTCTTTTCATGGACCCTCCGATTCTGGTGGTAAATCCTGTTCATGACGGTCTTCACCTGGGCACAGGAAAGTCCGTTTTAGTCAGGGCAGATCTAGCTCTTTGGCACCCAAGTTTCCATTCAAGGCTGGAGGGCAGCAAGGGGGCTCTGGCAAGACTGGTGTTCACACCAGTCCCTTGGAACAATTCTCAAAGGATGCTTTCCTGCCTTCCTGCCTTCTCTGCCTTTTATCCTCCCTGCTCTAAATCACCATAGAAAATCCACTGTGAATGAATGCAGCATTTTGTGGTCACAAAATGGTGTTTTTTTTTGCTTCTATTTTCAGAGAGGCAGCTAGGTGGCCCGGTGGATAAAGTACCTGGCACAGTCAGGATAGACCTGAGTTCAAATCCTGCCTCAGACATTTACTAGCCGTGTTATCCTGGACAAATCACTTGACTTTTCAGCTTTGGTTTCTTCATTTGTAAAATGGAGATAATAATAGTGTTACTATGAGGATTAAATGAGATAACTACATGTAAATTGCTTTACAAACCTTAAAGCACTATATAAACGCCAGCTATTATTATTAGTCAACAAGTATTTGATGTGTCTAGATGCCACACTAACCATGTGACCTAGGGCAAATCACTTAACTTTGGGAAATTGAGTTTCCCCATCTGTAAAATGGGGGTAATTACAGCACCTACTTCACAGGATTGTTGTGAGGATCAAAAGGGGAAAGATCTGTAGAGTGCTTTGTAAACTTTAAAACAAGACAAATGGTAGCTCAGAGCCTACTGTGTGCTTAACACTCTGCCAGGCGTTTGGAAACTTTTTTTCCCTTTTACTATCTATGGCTCCCTCATTCCTTAGACCGGATCCTCAGAGACTTGTTTGCTGCTCTTGAGTCTAGACATAGAAATCATCTGGGGAGGGTCTAGGGACTCTAAGGTACAGGATAAAACAGCAGTGCCACACTTATCTGGAGCACACATGCACGCACGCACACACACACACACACAACCTCCCCTATTTGGTTAAACAATGACTTTGAAGAGACCACAAAGAAGTCAGAAGGGCTTTTTAGCAAGCACAATGGATGTCTCAAAGTCTATAGAACTTTATAAGTGTGCTAATAAATCCACACAAATAAGAGAAAAAATAAATGGCGAAAATACTTAACAAAAGTTCTTTGCCCTGATGGAAAGGAAAAAGAGCCCTTTGAAGCAAGTGATGTCATTTTATATAAATTACTGGAAGGAAAAAAAATGTGCCTGTTAACTTGCCTTGTTTTGCAATTACAAGTATCCTTTTAACTGTCCATGCAACACTGATAACTGCAGTCAATTCTGGCCCCAGGCCTCCACAGTAAGTGAGAGCCCTCTCACCTCTGGCCTCTAGGCTTTTGTACCAGAACTAGGGACCTACCTCTGCCTCTCACCCCACATGCTAGAAGGAGAAAAAACAAATCAACATTAGAGCTGACTTTGTATTTATTTGGCATCTATTTGGCTATCATGTGTGCACATGCTGTATTCCAAGTAGAATGAAAGCTCCCTGAGGGCAGGGACTGTTTTGTTTTTGTCTTTGTATTTCCAGGGCCTAGTGCCCTAGGAGGCACTAAAATGAATGCTTGTTAAACTGAACCAAATTAAGCATCCCTTTAAAAAAACTATGTATATTTAATTTTTTTAATTATCCAGGCTATATTTCATGTTATTGGCTATGTGCAAACCAGGCCCAGGGAAGTGGAAAGGTGTGAACCACTGGAAAACATCTGCCTTTAAAGCCCGAGTTCTGTGCTCAGGACCATGGCACGGCATGATGTGGTCCAAAGGTCTGTGACTGTGCCTATGTTTGTGGTGGGACAAAGAGGCAATTAAAAACATGGAAGCTGATATTAGAAGAGACCAAAATTCTTTGTTAGAGCTGTCTGTGAGGCATATGATAGATCATTATTTTTTTTTTTTTTTGCCTTTTGGTGACACAATCGGGGTTAAATGACTTGACCAGGGTCACACAGCTAATAAGTGTCATGTGTCTGAGGCCAGACTTGAACTCAGGTCCTCCTGACCCCAAGACTGGAGCTTATCTACCACACTACCTAGCTGCTCCTGATAGATTATTATTTTGAGTAAAATTCAGTTGAACTGAATGAGGGTGGTTTGCATTTCACTTAAATTGAATCAATCCACAACATTTATAAAGCACCTACTATACGCCAGGCAACATGCTGAGTGTTGGTGATACAAAAACAAAAATGAAACAGTCTGTTCTCAAGAAGCTTACAATCTACCCAGGCAAACAATATGTATAGAAATAAAAGTATATAAAATAAATGCAAACTAATACAAGGTACTTGAAGAGGTCACCAGTAACTGGCAATATCCAGAAAGGCCTGATGTAGGAGTGGCATCTGGGCCCAGCTTTGAAGGAAGGGGCAGAGTCAAAAAGGAAGGGCATTCCAGGCATGGGGCATACGCCTAGGCAAAGGCATGGAGATAGGAGATGTGAAGAAGAGAGAGGGACAATTGGGCTGGACTATATTGTGTGAAGGGAAATAATGGGAAACAAGCCTGGTGAGGCGGGCTAAGGCCATGTTGCCAAGGGCTTTACATGACAGAGCAATGGCATTTGATGCCAGATGTGATTGGAAGCCATGGGAGTTTACTGGTTAACGACAGCTTTTGGGAATTTTGGGGGCGTCTGGTAAATCTTCTTACCTCATTAGTGATGAAAGAGCTGTCGTATCTCTGCAGAGCTGTCGCGGCCAGGTGGCTGATGGACCCATCATCTGACTCTACGTATTTCAGCAGCAATGGGATCCCTTCAGGAAGAAGAGAATTCTTCAGAGCTAACAAATACATCTTCACGTCTTCCTTTTTGTCTGATTTTTCAAGGCCTCCCAGGATCAGCTTCTTGGCTTCAACCACTGCCTAAAGAGAACACGGACACCACTTCAAGACTCTTCACAGTGGGTTCGGGGAGGCGTGGGCTATGTAAGCTTTCTACTCCAGCCAGTTCCCAGAAAAGCTCATGTCCCACTTCATTTTCAACCATTTATTTCTTTGATGATATTCTTTACAACACTTCACTTGGATGAGCAAACTAGGACATTTCTCACAGACACAACCACCACGGGTAAACTAAATCTAAATTAAGCTCACTGCTTTATAACAATATCCTGAGGCATTTTTAGAAGCAAGGAACATCATTGGCAATAGGTCTACTAATGTTTTGACATATTTTGCATGTCCAAAGTCATATTTTTCATGCTCAATGGGCTTAAAAGCAAGTAGAATGTAAGCTCCTTGAAGGCAGGGTTTTTTTTTTTTTTAATGTGTGTTTTTATATATAGTACCTAGGTGTCTCTGTCACATGGTGAATTTTGAGCAAATGTTTATTGAATGGAAAACTGTTTCTAAAGGAGAAACTGTCATAGTGACTAAGTGGTCAGTTATACCACATTTTAATGATATCATCAATCAATCAACACGCATTTATTAAGCACCTACCATGTGCCAGATACTGTGTTAGGTGCTGAGGAAAAAGGAAACAAAATCTGCTCTCGGGGGTCTTACATTTCATCATCAATCAATGCATATGGAATGCCTCCAAAATTAACGAGGGTTTTAGAAGTTCAGCTTAGCTTCAAGTGTGATTAGTGCTGAGATTATGCGTATCAGTTTTAAGTTCTTTTTTTAAATTCAGTTTTATTTTATTTTCAGGATTTCATTCTCTTCCTCTCACCCTCTCCGTCTCAACACACACTGAGAAAGCAAGAAAAACAAAACCCGTCACAAATATGTATAGTCATCAGCTTCATAACAATAATAGTGAATATATGTGTATGTATGTACATACATACATATACACACATACATGTACTGTTTACTATGTGCCAGGCATTGTGCTAAGTGCTTTACAATTATTGTCTCATTTCATCCTTAGAATACCCCTGGGAGGTCGATGCTATAATTATCACCATTTTATACTTGAGGAAACTGAAGCAACAGAGGTTAAGTGACTTGCCCAAGGTCACCCAGCTAGTAAGAGTCTGAGACCAGATTTGAACTTGAGTCTTTCTACCTCCAGCTTCAGCACTCTGTGCACTGCCCCTCATTACTGTCTCTTTCTAAGCAGAAAGGAAACAAGTCTAAGCTAAAGGAAATCAGGTCTAAATGACAAGGAAGCCAGAATTTCTGTCATTCACTAATGTCCTTCAGATGGATGGGGACTAGAGCTTTGACGTCACTGGTATAAGGTCAGCAGAGTTTCTCTGCTAGTGCAGGCAGGGGATGCCCCTTCGGCACCTTCTCTGCAGCTTAGGGTCTCAGAGCGCTGCCAGGGGCACTGAAAGGTGCCACAGTCATGGAATCAGTGTGCCTCAGGGGCACGACTCGAATCCAGGTCTCCATGGCTCAAGGCTAGCTCTCTGCCCTTCTCAGCCATTACTAGATGACATTAGGTAATACGCAAAAGGCAAATGGGACTTGGATCCCAGTTGGATGAACTCTTGTCTCCACTCCTATTTGCGTCTTTCTCTGTTTCAAAACTTCCCTAGTTTAGCTGAGGGAAGGGACAAAACACAATTGAAAATGGCTTTGAAATTTTAACATTGGCAGGGGGAGAAAAGCGTATGTTTTCATAAGCTCAGCATCTGCACAGCAGAAAGAACAGCTTTGTTTGATGTTGAGTAATCTGGCTTTCTCTTTTTCAATCATCCTTGGAAGGTAGCTGCGTGTGTGTGTGTGTGTGTGTGTGTGTGTGTGTGTTTTCTTAAAAGAACACAGAGATCTGAATTATATGGAGAAGGGAAGACAGTATCTTGCTCTGTTTGCTACTGCTAGGTGGAGAATTCTTAACCAAGGGTTAGGGGAGTTCAAAAAAGAGGATATAGACCATTTTAGAATACATAAATTTATAAAAAATTTTACGTTAACAAAATTGATGTGGTAAGGATAAGAAAGATTGGCAATTGGGGGAAAATAGCTTTGTATTGCTAATAAAAGTCTGATATTCCAGTTGTAGAGAACATGAACATGTAAGACCGAGAGCCATTCCACAACATGTCATCACTAATAATCAGAAAAATGCAAATTAAAACAACTCTGAGGTTTCACCTCACACCCAGCAAATAGTCAAAGATGAAAAAGAAAGAAACAGTTGATGTTAGAGTCGATGAAAAGACTAGGCCAGTCATATATTATTGGTGGAACTGTGAATTATTCTGAACATTTTGGAAAACAATTTGTACTTATGTGAGAAAAGTCACTAAACTGTCCACACCCCTTAATCCTACAATATGGCATATATCCCAAAAGAGACAAAGACAGAAAGAAAAATCCCATATGTAATCAAACATTCATAGCATACTTTTTCATGTTAGCAAAAATAACTAGAAGGTGGGTCCCCATCAATTGAGGAATGGCTAAACAAACTGTGGCATATAAATAAAGTGGAATATTATTAGACCAAAATAAAAAATGAATATGAGGAATTCAGATAAACATAGGAATACTTGTGTGAACTGATGCAGAGTGAAATAATCAGAACCAGGAAAGCAAGATGCACAACGACAAAAATGTAAACAAAAACCCAAATATCACATAAGTGTCCTGACCAATCTTGGCTCTTAAGAAGAGAAAAGGAAATGAATCTCTCTCCTTTTGTTGAGCCAGTGGGGATACAGTGGGGAGACTAGGCTATCAGACACCCAATGTGTCATTTAGCTTTGCTTAAGTGTTTCCTTCGTGACAAGGAGAGGCTCACTGACCAGGCATGTGCGGGTGGGGGTGGGGGAAGGATGCGCTGTATTCAGAAATGATTATTATTTAAAAATAAGAGAAATCAGTAAAACTTTAATTTTCAAAAAATGAATACACAGAAATATGGCAGATTTCCCAAGCAAATTAGAGACTTTTATCATATGAAACCAAAATGCACAGATCAAAGATGCATGTAACATCTAAGTAATTAGAAGTAACTAAATAAAATGTTTTCATTGTGAAAACTAGATTTACAGGGGGTTGACTTCAGCCTTCATGGGTTCTCACGAAGCCTTGTCTACATCCAAGAACAAAACTGGACTTAAGGCCCTATGCTAGGCATAAAACAAACACTGGTTGTATGATTGACAAATTGTAAAAGAAATAAATAAAATGACTGTCACTTACTGGGGCCTTGCAGGCTTCATTCTGGCACAATTTCCTGATAAGTGCACCAATGACGATGACGACTGTTTCTCTGATGTCATTGCTTCCAATGGGGTTCCTAAATGTCTTCTGTTAGCCAAATGGAAATAGATATTACTGATAACATTTAAATTTTTCTGCAGTACATCGATGAGTAGAGAAATAAATATTCTACTGTCCAAATAAAATGTTTTTAATCCTCCTAAAATATTCAGTTTCATGCTTTAGGACCCCAACACATTTTCCACAATCATAACGAGAGTGGGGGCAGCTGGTCTTTGCTCCAGGGCTCAACAATTTGGAAGTCACTGATGAGGGATAGCCTTTGGGTTCCTTCAGAAATAGCTGAGATTAGCGCCCAGTTAGAAAAGAAAAATTGGTTAAAATACAATACCAGATGATGTATATTTTCCTCCCTGTGGTGGCTTACCAAGTAGAGCTTCTTCTGCTGACTCGACACTTTCCTGTTCCCTCCCACAGTAATAGCCAATGTCCTCAGGTCTCTCTCTCTCCCAATGGACTGGTATCCCAGGACCTTTCCCCACAAAGGGCATTATGTCCCAAGGTACAAGTTATCTCTCCCCCCAACCTAATCTGTTTTTAAAAGTTTATCTGAGGGCACCTTTTTGCTGATACATGAAAGAACACATCTTGTGGCCTTACCCTGGGCACCAGAATTGCTAGATATGGCCCTGAAATTTAATACACACCTTTGAACTGAAGAGGTATGAGGTAATATAACTTATCAGACAGTGCCATTTTCAGGAACATGGGGACCATGCATGTTCCCCAATGAAGAACTCAATTTTTCTATTGTGAACGGAGCTGATTTTACTGAATTAAGTCTATCTTTTCTATTTAATTGTGCTATTTATGGTGGTCAGTGAAGGAATACTATACTATCTGAAGAACTGAAATTGAATGGTGATCAAGGGCATAGTGCATGTCACATTGCAAACGAGGAATTAGGAAAGAGAAGAACAAAAGATGTCATCAAAGAAATATATGAGTGATTCAGTAAATGGGCTGGCCATGTGGCAGGAGCAAGAGATAAGCCTGGGTGCTCTGCTAGAAGCAGAGAAGCTCCTACCTACCTCCCACCACCACAACACCACACCCTGAGAGTGATCATCTTGAGGTTTTTTTAGGAGGTGACCGGTAGATTCTTTTGATTTCTTTTTTTATTTTCTGGTTCTAAGATATCTGAGCAGTTTTCCTTTATAATTTCTTGAAATAATATCTAGGCTCTTTTTTTGGTCTCAGGTAGTCTGATGACTCTTAAATGATCTTTCCTCAATCTATTTTCTAGGTCAGTTGTTATTCCACATTTTCTTCTATCTTTTCAGTCTTTTGACTTTGTTTTACTTTTTCTTGCTGTCTCATAAAGCTATCAGCTTTCCTTTGGCCAATTCTAATTTTAAAATTATTCAGTTTTTTTCAGTAAAGTTTTGTGCCTCCTTTGGTAAAATTCTAATTTTTACAGAGTTATCTTTAGTAATGTTTTATGCTGTTTTTACAAAGCTATTCATTTTCTTTCAATAACTTTGTTGCATAGGTCTCATGCCCCGCCTTTCTCCTACTACTCTTATTTTGTTTTCAAAATTAATTTTTTGCTCTTTCTAAAAGAAAGACTCTTCTAAGAATTTTTGTTGGGCTTATGTTCAATTTGCACTTTTCTTTGAGGCTTTGTAGATGTTTCCAAATCATTGTCTTCTTCGGTGTTTGTGTCTTTAGCTTTTTATGGTCAGGCTCTTCTGTTTGTTTGTTCATTCTTCCTGCCTGGTTCTTGACTTTAGTTTTATGTTAATATGGGGTTCCGCTCCCTTTTGTGAGAAATGTCTGGCCTGAGCTTCTGTCTTTCTTTGTCCTTCTGCTATTTTCACAGCTTAATCTGGGGGCCTGCAAGTTTCTGATGCTTCTAAGGTAGTGTAATCTGGGCAGAGATTTCTTCACTGCCCTCCTAGCATGAGCTCTGCAAGCCCCTATCCCGGGTTGGACCGTCCAATCTGTTGGATTGTGTGTGGTTGAGTTTCAGCTGGACTTAGTTATCGTTAGCCCACTGGGAAGTTCTGTAGGCTCAGAGACAACGAACTCTTGATTCCCCTTTGGTTGGTTTCCTGCCATGGTTATTCCACTGCAGGCTTCTGTGCAAGGCTAAAGGTAAGAACTGAATCCCCACTCTGATCTTGAGCTCAGTGCCATACAGCTAAGTTTTTAGAAATGGTCCTTGCTCTGTACACAGCAAGGACTTTTCATTCATCCTCTCTGCTGTGAACTGTGACCTGGACCTGGGTAATGGGTGACAGAACTGCCAGTCGGCACCCACCTGTGCCTGTTTCCAGTGTTGGTTCAGGGGGCCCTTTCTGCTCTGGCGCTTCCAGCCCTAGTGTTCAGTCTTAGCCCCCTTACAGTCCCTGGGCATTAGAATGCTCCCCACCACTGCTTCTGCTGCCCCCATGCCACGCTGCTGGCCAACCTGTGTCCCCAGACCTCTCTGTCTAAATCCTTATGCTGCCCTCGTCTGGAAAAGTGACTTACTATGATTTTTTCCCCCTTGGCTTTCTCCATGAGGATTGAGTGTGCTGTGTTTCCTAGATTATTGAAGAGGAGTGAGCTGGCAAAAATGCTGACTATCAGTCCATCATACAGACTCCACTTCCAGAGGCAGATTTCAAACCCAGGTCCTCTGCTCACTTAACCTCTTAGAGCTCCTTAGGGCAAATCTCTAAGACATAAATTGCAGACAAGGTGCTGACCTGAACTCCTAGAGGGAGGTCCATCACCCAAAAGACTTCACAACCCTGAAATCACAGATCCAGTCCCTAACCCTGTGAAACAGTCTAGAAAGTTTTAGTGACAAGTTATGTTACAGAAAATAAACAATCAGAGCGATTATCACATTACTTCACGTAATCCTTGCAGTAATTCAGGTCTAATTTCATCCTTCAATATTTGTATTAATCCTGTTCACTGTATTAAGTGAACCTTTTCCCCCTTTTCCCCGCCTCCACAAATTCACACTGTCCTTTTGTACTTACAAGCAGAGCTTTCAAGAGCGCTTCATTGGGATGGGAGGCGAAACCACAGGCATAAAGAAACCTCTCTTGGAGAATAATATCGCTTTCACTTTTGAAATTCAAAAACTCCAGTATGGCTTCCAAAGAATCCGGGGTCTGAGCAGATGTTATAGCATCTACCAGTTGAGGTCTGTAAGAGAAAACTGCTCACTGTATTTGTATCCCCAGTGCCTAGCACGGTGACTGCCTGTCACGCAGGAGATGAATGACAAATGCTCGCCAAATAAATAAAGACTAACAGTCATGAATATTAGCCTGAACACTTGAGAAAGTGTTTAAAAGTTCAGCTACACACAGATTTTGAATTTTGATCTTTCCAGGGAGATGAGAGATGCCACAAGGAAAAAGAACCTAATGTTCACCCTAGTCTTTGATATAAAATTCTAGTTATAGCCTTTATTCTATTGAATGATTATCTGCTTCATGGATTAGTCACAGCAAATTTCTTGATCCCAGGACATTTCCTCCTTTTGGCTACTCTTTCCTTTCCTACTTATTCTGCACAATGCATCTTCAGAAGAATGCAAACTAATATTAACTAACTGAAGCTAAATATAATTAGGAAAAGTAAATCCATTTGGAAAAAAATCACAAATGAATTCCAGTTCTAGAGAAATGTATTAAGATCAAGATGAGGTGATTAGGTGATATAATTATAACTCCTGACTTGGAGTCTGGAAGACAGTATTTGAATCTAGTCAGAACCTTACTAGCTTAAACCTCTTTCAGCCTCAGTTTCCTTATTTGTAAAATGAGGATAAAAATAGCACCTACCTATCAGGGTTGATGTGAAGATCAAATGAGATAATACAAAGTGCTTTGTAAACCTTTTAAAGTACATTATAAATACAAGCTATTTCATGAAGAGAAACACACGTAAAGCACTTTGCCAATTAAAAGGCACCATATAAATATTGACCATTATCATCATTATTAAGGATTATGTGCACTCCCGTTTTCCACTGTTACAAATGCATGGAATGCTGACCACTGAAAGCTGATACCCTGGGCCTTGCTCATGGCCTTTTCAAGTAACCCAGCGTCCATGCCTCAGATGCCTAAATATTTAACCGACTCTGTACTTGTGGAAGTAGAAAGATGGAGGAAAAAGTCCCTAAGATTCAGGAGCTAGTATTCACTTTATATTTTACTATTTTACGAAGACGGTTACATCTTAAGTGTATATTCCAGCACATGGCCGAGTGCGTGGCCCACAGCAGGCTCTTAATAAATGCTTGCTGACTTGACTCCAGCATGTTGAGGACTTAGACTATGGGGATGGCACTGAGTATGAGTTGGGTGGCCTAGACACAAAACTTCTCCGACGGTGCAGTCCTGGGGAACATCCCTGTGGGCAAGTAGATATACTTAAAACTAATCGCTCTATCAAGAAACATTCACACAATGTGTGTTCTTGGTATGTGCACATACCTATGCATGTTTGTATAATGCCAAACACATACAAAAGGCTTTAATGTTTTAAGGTGCTTTCACATTCAGTGATTCCTCACAAAAGCCCAGCGAGGAAGAGTGGGCAGGGACGATAGAGCCCATTTCTCACAGACAGCTAAACGATTTGGTCACAGTCACATGCATAGCGAGGGACAGAGCCATGACACTTTTCAGTTTAACCTGCATTATTATTACCATTTTCTCCATCATTTTCTTAAGTCTAGACAATCAACAAAATAAATTAGGCCCTGTTGCTTCTCAATTTTCTTTCTTTCTTTTTTCTTTTTCTTTTTTTTTGCTTTTTGGTGAGGCAATCGAGGTTAAGTGACTTGCCCAGGGTCACACAGCTAGTAAGTGTTACGTGTCTGAGGCTGGATTTGAACTCAGGTCCTCCTGACTCCAAGGCCAGAGCTCTATTCATTTTGCCACCTAGCTGTCCCCTGCTTATCAGTTTTCAAAACCGAATAGTACCAAGTGGCTCCAGCCGACCAGGCCCCGGGCAGAGCCAAAGTCAGCCCCAAGGCCACCTGACTTGCAGGACTCAGCTCCTTTTACTCAGCAGATGCACGTGGGGTGAGCCCCTGAGCAATACCACGGCACAAGACTGTACAATCAAACTCTAAAGCAAAAACTGCCGCTTAGCATGGGGCTGGCTAGGAGTGGGCACCTGTTTGGCTGCTGAATCGATACAAAAGTACCTCACTGCTTGGTCAAGTTTGCAAAATACTTGGTCACAACAATCCTACAGAGGTAGGTGTGGCAAGTTGCATTGCTGTCTTGTATAGAGTGGAAACTGAGGACCAAAGAGGTTAAGGAACTTCAAGGTCACACAGCTAGTTACAAGACAGTGGCAGGACTTGAATTAAGATCTGGTGAGTGGGAAGGGAGCTAGGACCAGGATGCAGTCTCCACATTAAATTCCTAAAAGGTGCAGGCTTTTTTTTTTTTTTTTTTTACTGGTATGAAGATGCCTCTGTTTGTCATTGTATTTGAATATTCTATTATTCAAATAGAATCCAAAATTTACTATTTTGGATATTTGGTGACTAGTGGCCACAAGGCGGTCAGAAAAAGCAATACAAGGACACTCTCAAGGCCTCTCTTAAGAACTTTGGAATAGATTGTGTGACATGGGAGACGCTGCCCAGCATGGCGTGCCCTCATCAGAGAAGGTGCTATGCTCCATGAGCAGAGCAGAATTGAAGGAGCTCAAAAGAAACTCGAGATGAGCAAATTCAGAGAATTCACCCCAAGTGTTGACATGGTAGAGCATTCCGAGCTTGTATTGGTCTGATCAGCCACAGTCAGACACACTGTAACCGACCCTAGCACACTGATGTCATTTTGGTCCTCTTTGAGAACAAAGGATATTTTTGGATATTTAATTTGCCCCTTATATCTGATTTCTTTTGGAAATATATATATACTCAATTCATGTCCATATACAGTGTTTCCTTTAGTATATCAAAAGCAAAATGGACTCAAGATCCATAACAATTTTAAAAAACAGACTTTCCCTCCAAATAGTAGGTTCACCTATAATAAAACTAAAGTATTTTAAGGGTTTTTCAGGAAATCCAATGTTTTAGACCTAACAGGAGCTCTATCTCTGCAGCCACTGACTCCATCTGTGTGGTGGGAGGAAAAGAAAGCTGAATGAGGAGGTACAGGACCTGAGGCCCAGTGCTGGTTCTGCTATTTACTAAATACCTGCTCTGTGTGACTGGGCAAGCACAGAGAAGGCCCGGGCTTTGTCTTCCTCACCTGTAAAATTGGGGGCGTAGATCTGATGGCCTCCTAGGTGCCTTCCAGCTTAGATCTGGAATTCTATGAACACAGCTGGTTCATACTTTCTATTGTGCTAATGACCAAATCCCCATTCATTCACAGACTGACTGGGTTTGGGGTAATAAGTGGTCTGGTGATTTAGGTTGAATACCTACAGGTTGCATCTCTACACAAATGAACTGAAAAATTCAGTCCCAATAGAAGATAAGGACTGGAAACGTGATTTTAGTGGCATGGGGAACTAGCCGATGAGGAAGGGGGAAGAAAGGGGAATAAGTATTTATTAAGCACCTACTGTAAAATGAACTGGAGAAGGAAATGTCAAACCGTTGTAGTATCTTTGCCAAGAAAACTTCAAATGAGGTCATGAAAAGTTGGACGTGGTTGAAATGACTAAATGACCAAAAAAGCCCCTACTATGTGCCAGGCACTATGCTAACTGCTTTTACGTATATTATCTCATTTGAACCTCATAACAAGCCTGCTATCATTATTGCCATTTTATTGTTGAGGAAACTGAGGCAGACAGAAGTTAAGTGACTTGCTCAGGGTCACACAGCTATTAAGTGTCAAGCATCTGAGTTCAAATTTGAACTCAGGTCCTCCAGACTCCAGGGCTGATGCTCTATCCACTGCACCACCTAGCTGCCCTCTAAGTCTTTTCCTTGCTTTCCTGTGCACAAGGACAGGACCAATTTCTGCTCTTAGATATTCTAGAGTGTTTCTTGTCAAGATTTCATTGCTATTAAGCACAGTTACCATGAAATCCTTTTCTAGTCAAGTGATTCTACATTTTTACCTTGTGGCATAAAGTTGTGATAAAAGTGCCAAACAGGATAAAATAGTCAATTCTGTTAGCTTTGCTCTCAGTCCAATTCTCTATTTAACAATCAGCCAAATAAAGAGCTTCTGTCCCAGTTTCATTCTGACCTTAGGAAAGCACCGTATGATGAATCCAGAGACTTACAGGATTTCTTTGCTTTCGCTTTTGAGAACCTGAAGAAGTTGTTCCTTCTTGGCCGTCCTGAAGTGATGGATGAGGTCTAAGAAGCTTCGGGCAGAGGCAGCTTTGGCTAGGTTATCAGGCTGCAGTTGCTTCTTTGCTGTCTGCCAGAACTCAGAAAGCTGAAAAACATGACCACCAGTGCCCTCAGGGTGATGTCTCCTTCTCAGAACCTTTTACAAAGGATGATTATTTTTCCCTAGAATACACCCTATCTTACAACCTTCAAGTAATATAAGCCAATATGTTAGCAAAATCTCTACATCCCACAACACACTTTTGTTATTGTCCACAGTTATGGTGACACATATACATTGGGTTGTCTTATCTCCTTATTAGGTTATGGGAATGACCATGCTTAACCAGTATTACTGAAGCTAATAGACCAAAAATAGATGTCACCCACTACCTTGTTATTTTATGGAGTTTTAAACTGAGACCAAGGCTTTACCATTAAAGTAGATCAAGGGTGGAATATACATTCATTCCTAGAATATTTGAGAGGTAAAAAAAATCCAAAATATTTTTGTTTTTCTAATTAACAAAGTTTCCACAAGTGTCTGTAGTCACTTTACTGGTGACCTGATGTTTTTAAAGCATGAGACAGAGGATGGGAGAAGTATATGTACTCTTCATTTATTGTGAATTCTCCTTTTTCATTCTTGATTTGGCAAAATTGATTTTCCATTCCTTTTTTTTTAAAAAAAAATAAGATTAGCTAATGTTTTGTCTATTTTATTAATTTAAAAAAAACTAGCTCCTAGTTTTACTTATCAATTCAATAGATTTTTAATCTTTTTTTTAATTTTCAGAACTGCTATTTTTTTGTTTGCCTAATTCACCGATCTGTTCTTAAAAGATAAATTTTCTCCTAAAATGTAGCTTTGGCTGTATCCCTAAAGTTTTTTTTAATTGTCTCTCTGTTGTTATTTTCTTTGATGAAATTACCTTTTTTTTTTTTCAGTGACTTCAGAAAAGGTAAGGTCACAGCTTGTAACAATCACAAACAGGCCTCAGAACAAATGCTAAAATGTCTTTAGTTGCACAAGAATCACAGATAGATGGGTCAAAGACACTTGGACGTGCTCCAGAGATTGTCCACAAATCACTGAGCAGTTGGGAAGGGGAGGGACTCCAGAAACTGGAACGTGTGTAGAGTTCTAGCTGAGACAGATCACAGATGTTTTGTACCAACTAACCTTATTGCACCATTTTGGTAAATATCTCTTTCTTAAAACTATTTACTAAATGATTCTCAATTTATAATCTGGGCCAGGAGGCCATATACTGTGTACATGCTGTACATGTTCTGTCCCCCTGCCTGAATGTAAGTTTCCCCAGAGACTCACATAGCACAGTGTCAGGTATTCAGCAGATGCTTAATAATTGTTTATGGAATTGAATGGAAGCCAAGTGAGTGGTTATCACTCTGCTCCAGGAGTGGGGAACCTGCGGCCTTCAGGCCACATGTGGCCTTCTCAATCCTTTCGAATGAATCCAAATTTTATGGAATTGTTCAATTAAAAGGCCACACTTGAGGACTGAGAAGGCCACATGTGGCCTGAAGGCTGCAGGTTCCCCACTCCTGCCTATTCCAAAGCAGCAGAAAAAACGTGAGCACTTACAGAAGGACACCGTTTGCATTTGCTCTGGTAGACCTGCCCGACCAGGGACATGGCTGTGTATTTTGAATCCACGGCCTTAATCACCGCAGCGACCTTTTTTCCAGCCATCAGTCCTGGGCCTGCTGCTGTCGTCTTCAGCTCCAGTTTCTGCCTATAAAGCAACCAAGGAAAAAGACCTTATGGTCAGCATTCACATCCAAGCAAGCAGGAAGACACTCAATCAAAAAATGCAAGGGAAATATCTCAATATTCAACAATTGAGATTTCTCATTTCTTAACTAAACCCCAATAGTGATCTGCTGTCCTCTACGACCCAGCATCATGGGAATTGCTACTGAATCCAAACAAACTAAAAATCGAAATAACATGTATAAATATAGGTTCAAGAGACTGTAAGTAATGTAGGCCAGACAGTGTATCTGCCATGTTTCCTTTACAAATAATTTCTTCTCCTCTTCTTCTGTGATTTCACAGAAATAGGAAATTCCCAGAGGAGAAGCTTTCTCAACCAATCAGAGCGGCAGCCAAGAAGGGGGCAGCCCATCACTGCAAGATTAAAGGATGTGTCCAAGGTCATACAACCAGTGTGTCACAAGGCCAGCTCTCAACCAGGCCAGGTTTCTTCTGGAGTCCTTGCCTTTCTTCAATATAAGACACTCTCTTATAATCAAATAACAGAAAAGTACAAAGTTTTTTGTTGTATTTTTTTAGCTTTTACTTTAAAAAAAATTATGTTAGAGAAATGAAGAGAACAATATGCTTAAGTTTTACTCAAAATTAAGGAACAGCAAAGAAAGTTTAAAATTCCAAATATTTACTTCTTTTTCTTACCGAGATATTATTTTGCCTGTAGCCAGTCTTTGGAAATTGAGACCATAAGCATATGTCTCTTCTGCCAGGACCGCTGTCACAAAACTGTCTTCTATTTTATAAGTGGTCATAGATACTGCTTTGGAACTGATCCCTAAAACCTGGGTGAACAGGGGGAGAAAGCAGAGAAAAAGCACTTTGTAAAAAAAAATCAAGATTAAGTTATTTATTTCTGGATCAAGTTAAGAAAAAAAAGTAGCCACCCATTTAGCTTATATGGCAGGCACATCTACAATGGAGTCTCTATTGACTAAAAACTCCAAGTACACTTTCACAGTTTATTCTCTACCTTCTCCTCTTTTCACACTTATTCTGCCAAATCAATATAAAATGAGAGATTATTTGTAAAGTGCTTAGCGCAGTGCCTTAGCACAGTGAACATAGGAAACGTTCAGTAAATGCTTGTCCCTTTCCCGTTTCTTCCCAAAGCACAGCTTTCTAGACACTCTGAATTAAGAGAGCTGGGTCATACCTTGTTATGGGTGGTAAATACAGGTCTTTCAATTTTGCAAGTATCCAGGGCCTTAATTTTGGTCACTTTATCTTGATTGGCCTGATAGGTCACTTTGCAATTCCCAGAAACGTCCACCTAAATTTTTTTAAAAAGAGGAAACGGCGTTTGGAAAGATTCTAAGAGAAGGGCTTTAAGAAAAGTCACCCCCAACTTACTACTAGGCAATCAAATTTTTCTCCAGGTCAACTGGAGTGAGAGGAGGGAATGAAAGTGTGCATTTCTTCTAGCATCTGACTGTTTTTTCCATGCTTTTCAGTTGAATCTTACCATACCCCCACAAGAAACTCAGGAATAACAAAATATGTTCCCACTCCTAGATACCTACCAATAACAGGGCTTAGGAAAATGGGCTGGCTATGAGTGAGACTGTCAGCATTCAACTTCTGAGAGCTGAGGTTGCTACAAGGTACAGGAATACAGACCTGAAGGGTTCTGTTACTAGATTTTAACGATGGTCCCAAAGCTTTTGTATTTGTTTGAACCTCGGCTCTATCTACCCTACCTAGGTCGGGCTATCTTGACTTTTTTTTCTCTTCACCCGAGCCTCCACCCTTGGCCAGTCTTCATAATGGCTCTCTTTGTCTGAATGTATTTCTCCTCTCTGTAATGGATCTATCTGAAATGTGGGTCAATATGATGACCATACTCCAGTACTTCCAGTTACTAACTTTGGAAAACCCACTTTATCTCCTGGCTATGTTTTCTCATCTGGAACATGGACCTAGAATGCTGAACCTTTGCCACCTGTTCTCTGTGTGACCTCAGAGAAGTCACATCGCATCTCTGGGCCTCAGTTTCCTCCACTGTAAAATGAGAGGGAATGCCTTCAATGAGCTCTAAAGTGCCATTCAGTCCTAGAGCTGTGTTTGTCCACCCCTAAAGTTCTGGGATTTTTTAAGTCACCTCAGTCTACACTTGGCTCCAGGGCAGCTAACCAACTGCACTTCTTGAATCTTCTCTCACACAACCTGGACTCCAGTCCTTCTGGCGATGGACATTTGTATTTCCATCAAAATTAAATTACGCTACCTAAATCACTCCCACTTCACACGGCGCTTTTCCCCTGAGTTCACCAGGATGAAGCAGTCCTAATCAAGGGTCTGTCTGCCCAGCTGTCTTCACTGAATGTCTATAAATCACAACAGAGACGTGGTTGTGTCAAAAGAAACGAATCCAGCAATCGTTTCAGAGATACCTTAGACAACGTGCATGGACCGATACAGGATAAGGTGAGCAGAGCCAGGAGAACAATGTATACGATATTGGCAACACTTAATGACAAACAACTTTAAAGGATTTCTGGAGATGGTTATGACAGCAGTAGCGGCAGCAGCTGTGGGAGCTCTCAGCCCAGAGACGGTAAGAGGGTCAAACAATGGGTCGGAAACAGATTACAAAGGAACCTCCGCTGGTACTGAGTACAGCTGATGCTAACTGGCAACTCTCTTGTCTATAAGCATTCTGGGTCACAGCTGCAGGGTGGAGAGGAGCATTTGTGATTGGTCACAAGAGGCAGGCAGGAGCACCAGCGTTTGTGGTTGCCGGACAGTGGCAGCCCTTCCTGGTTAAAGACCAGAGCACAAACCAGGAGGGCAGTGACCACATCTCTTCTCAGATCACACCACCTTGGAAGCACTGAAAACTTGCAGATCCCCAGAACTAGCTCTGGAAACAGCAGCATGAAAAAGCCTGAAGCTTGGAACAGTGCCTTCCCACCCCGAGGTGAATAGAGCCCGATTTTAACATTAATTTCAAAGTCAAGAAATAGGCTGGGAAAATAAGCAAACAACAACAAAAAAGGAATTCAATTATAAAAAGTGCTGTGGTAGCAAAGAGGAACAAAACACAAACTCAGAAGAAAATAATGTGAAAAGAGCTACAAGCAAAGCCTCAAAGGAAAAAATGCTAAATGGACACAAGCCCAAAAAGAATTCCCAGGAGAGTTAAAGAAAGAAATAAGAATGGTAAAGGAAAAAATAAGAGAAGAAATGAGAATGATGCAAAAAACTTATGAAATGAGAACTAACAGCTTGGTAAAAAGAAACACAAAAAAATACTGAAGAAAATAACATCTTAAAAAGTTGAATTGGCCAAATGAAAAAGGAAGTACAAAAGCTCACTGAAAATAATTCCTTAAAAATTAAAATTGGTCCAGTGGAAGCTAATGACTCCATGAGACATCAAACAATAAAACAAAGTCAAAAGAATGAAAAAGATAGAAGAAAATGTGAACTATCACAATAGAAAAACAACTGACCTAGAAAACAGATCAAGGAGAGATAATTTAAGAATTATTACAGTATCTGAAAATCATGATAAAAAAAGAGCCTAGATATCATATTTCAATAAATTATCAAGGAAAACTGCCCTGATATCCTAGAACCAAAGTGTAAAATAGAAATCAGAATCATTCATTGACCATCTCCTGAAAGAGATCCCAAAACGAAAACTTCCCAGGAATATTTTGGCCAAATTCCAGAGCTCCGATGTCAAGGGAAAAATATTGCAAGCAGCCATAAATAAATAATTCAAATATTATGGAGTCACAGTCAGGATCACATAAGATTTAGCAGCTCCCACATTAAAGGAGCAAAGGGTTTGGAATATGATATTCTTGAAGGCAAAGGAGCTAGGACTGCAACCAAATATAACCTACCCAGCAAAACTGAATATAATCCTTTAGGACAAAAAAAACCCCAGATATTTAATGAAATAGAGGACTTCCAAGCACTCCTGATGAAAAGACCAGAGCTGAGTAGAAAATCTGATATTCAAACAGAAAACTCAAGAGAAGCTTAACAAGGTAAACATAAAAGAAAAATCTTTAGGGACTCAATAAGCTTAATCTGTTTATATTCTTATATGGGAAGATGGTACATGTAACTCCTAAGATATTTATCATTATTAGGGCAGTCAGAAGGAGTCTTTGTAGACAGACAACATAGGTGTGAGTTGATTATGTTGAGATGATCTGAAAAAAAATGAAGGGATGAGGAAGAGGGATACACTGGGAGAAGAAGAAAGGGAGAGGTAAAATGTGGGAAATTTTCTCACATAAAAGAAATTCCCAAGGAAGAGCTTTTACAATGAAGGGGAAAAATGAAGGGGGGTGGGAGAACATGCTTGAACCTCACTCTCATTGGAATTGGTTCAAAGAAGGGAGAATATATAGACACACACTGAGTTGGGCATAGAAATCTGTCTTACCCAATAGGGAAACTGGAAAGGAAGGGGATAAGAGAAAGGCAGGGTGGGAGAGGTAGAATGATAAAAGTGAGGGTGAACTAAGAGAAGCAGTGGTTATAAGCAAAAAAGAGTTTTGAGGAGGGACAGGATAAAAAGAGGACAGAGGAAAATGAGGCGGAGAGGAATACACAGTTTAATAATCATAACTGTGATTGTGAATGAGATGAGCTCACCCATAAAACAGAAGTGGATGGCAAAACAGACTAGGAACTAATTTATTGTTTAAAACAGACACACTCAAAACAGAAAGACACACAGAGTTAAAATAAGGTGGTGGGGCAGAATCGATTATGTTTTTGTGATATGGCTAATATGGAAATATGTTTGCTTGATTTAATGTGTACAATCGATATCATATTGCTTGCCTTTTCAGTGGGTGAGGGAGGTATGGGAGGGAGGAAAAAATCTGAAACTCAAATTAAAAAAAAGTTAAAAATAGATAAATAATAATTTTAGAAATAAAATAAAAGACTTTAAAACTCTTGTCAGTGCAATGACCAATCAAAATCCCAGAGGACTGGTAATGAAGCACGCTACCTACCTCCCAACAGAGAGATGATGGATTGAGGATGAAGAGTGAGACATACAATTTTGGATGTGGGGAGATCTGTTTAGATTAATAATATACATTACAAGAGTTTTGTGGGTTGTTTTTTTTTAATGGGGTGACATGGTAGGGAGCTTGTTCAATGGAAAAATTTTTTAAATGATATCAAAATCAGGGTACTAGCTTCAGTCTTTCTATTGCTGAATGAGATGTTATAGCTATTTCACAATATCCCTCTATAGCTCATACCTCATTGGCGGTTCCAGAGGTTAGCTGCATCTGAAACAGGCTGGCCAGTCCTCTCTTGAGATTTTGTACACCCACTGGTTCACTTGGAAATGAGTAGTAGTCTGTAACCTGGGGTAATAGAAATAATCCAACAGAAAGACAAGCATTATCAATCAGATCTCATTAAATCAATAGCGGAGAGAGTCAGGTTCTTCTCCATCTGTTATTCTAGTACCAAGCCTTTAACTTTTGGGGGAAGAGGAGCTACTTTCTGTTCCACAGAAAACTTGAGATCAGAAGGATGATGAGAAGGGGAAATGCTAGAAGCAAAGTGCCTTTCTAGAGATAGGAAGAGCACTGTTGCAGGTTGTAGCCCTTTCCCGCTACAAATCTTGGAGATGTTCAAAGTGACTGGCTAGGAGATCAATCTTTGAGACCCAGTGGTTGATCCTAATCTATTGCTTGGGGACCTATAATGATCCCACTGCACTACAGGAAGCAGTTTCAGGGAAACTCAAAACCCCTTAGTCAACCTGTCAAGCAGTAACAGCCGAAGGCCCCTTTCCCACTGGCAGAGCATGTGAATATTAACTAACCACCAATCACCCAGGAATGCCACTAGCATGAATCAGTACCAGTTCCTAGGTCCAGACTTCCCACAATGCTGGCACTTGCTTGACCTCGGGGTAAGAACCCTATAAAAACCTACCAGATTTTACTAGCTTTGATTCCTCTGAGGGCCTCAGCAGGGTGCCCAATTCTGCTTAGGGCAGCAGCAGACCTATTTCATCTTCCCAGACTGCCCTTTATCAGAAGGGTTTCCCCTCAATAAAGCTGCCTTGCTAGACACTAAAGTGCACACTAGGTATAGGCAAATGCCCAGGTAGGGCATTTCTTTCTCCCTAATATAAACTGTGGTTTCACAAAGTAAAGGAGAAAGTTGAGCAATTATCCAAAGAATTGGATAAGCACACACAACTAAAAAAAGTAACTTGTAACTTTGCTCAGGAGCATAGGATCTTTTCCTCTGCCCGTTCAGATGATTACCTCAAGGTTCCACATCTCTTTGCCTATGCAGACCCAAGCTTAGTAACACATTTACTCACAGACATTTAAATGGTCACTTTTCTTAGTTACTGCAGTGGTTGAACCCATGTATGTCAGGATAGTGTTTGCCGCGGTTAAAAGGGAATTGGAACAATGACCTCAGTGTCTGAAAATGCATGGTATCATATTTTCAAACAAACCACTGGCAATCTATCAGCCCCAAACATGAGCTTCTAATGGGTCATATCATAAACCGGGTCTTTTCCCATTTTTCAACAGCATGATTGGCACGCAGTCACATTTCCCAAGCCCAGGGTAGGTTAGGATAATCTCCAGGAGTAAAATGAATCTAAGATCTACTACAGCTGCACCTGTGTTAGGAAACAGACCATGATTGATTTCTCACATGATGGAGTGCAAATTACGACTGACCATGAGATCACTGGCCTGGCCTACTTCCTAGATATTTCAAAGGGCAAGCGTTGGGATCTGGTAGAAAGAAATCCTGGAGTGTTATCATTACACAGCACAATCTTCCAACCTACAAAACATGCCTTTTATTTTTATGTAGTTAACCTTACATTAATTGCAACCTGGCTCTCTGATTCAACCTTTGGATAACAAATGTTTGCTGACTTAAAGGCAGATTGTCCATATATTCTGACGGCCCCTAGAGAGTGTTAAGACACTCAACGTGTATACAAGGTGTCCATGGGCCTTATTTCTTGTTACACAGACACGGCATATGTGCTATTGATTATCCTCAGAGCTGAGATCACTTAGGCTTGTACGCCTAGATCTTAAGCCAAATATTAACCTCCAGGGTCATTTTAGGGCTATTAGGGAGGGGGTGAAGAATTATTCTAGAATTCATTCTGACTTGAATCCCCTTAGCACAAACTTGTTTTATACACAGAGGTCTCAAAAGTCTTCAATAGTTTTAAAACTGCCCTAAAACTTCTGGGGCACTATGTACCTACATGCCTGTACACACACATATATCTTCATGTGTATATGTGTGTGTGTGTGTATATATATATATATATACACACATGTAAATTTTATGTATATTTATATATAAACATATAAACATGTATATGCATACATAATTGTACTTATTTAATATATACTCATTTATGTACATGCTTTTCAATGCCTTTCCCTATAAAATATAATATATGGAATGTAAAGACATTTTTGTTTTGTATTCCCAGTGCCTTGCACAGTATCTGGTACATAGCAGGTACTTAATAAATGCTTATTCATTGATTGACTTAAGTTTTACATCCACTGTATGCTCTCCTTTTATGCTTGCTGGTAGATTCAAGATTTGATTTTTATCTAGGTGTTTTCAGAAAACACTATTTAATTGTGACTTTTCTCTCAAACTAGATAATGATGGAGAGGCTGCTTGGCAGGACGGAAAAGCCCACTGGCTCTGGAGTCAGAGGAGCCAGGCTTCAACCCCAGTCCTGATACTTAACTGTTTGGGTTACCTCAGTGGAAGCTGGGGGTCCCCTTCACCTCCCTAAGCCTCAGTCTCTTCACCTGTAAAATGATGGGCCAGACTGGATGGCCTCAAAGGGCGCTTTCAGCTCTAAATCAAAGATCCTACGTTTGAGATGAGATCTTAAGGGAAAATGTATATCTCTTTCCATCTTTCATGTCAATTTCTATTATTACAATGGGACTGACAAGGTGTGGAAGTTCTGTGGGTTTTGTTTGTCTGTGGTAGCATTATGGGAACACAGATTTAGAATTGAAGGAGATCTTAAAAGACATTTGTCCAACCCTCCCACTTTGCAGATGAGGAAACTGAGGCCCAGAGACGGTAAGGGCTTGCTCAGGTGGTAAGGAGCAGAGCCAGGATTTGAACACTGGTCCTCTGAATTCCAAGTCAGTGCACTTTCTCCTAGCTCATGTCCAAGCATGCAGCTCTAGCCCAGCAGCTCTTAGTCAGCAGGCTGCATTGCTGTAGTAGGATGAAGGTCATGGTTTCACAACATGAGGTGGGTTTATTCAGTCATACTCTGGCCACAGACGATGACTTCATTCCATTTTGAAATGAGCGCTGGCCACATAAGAGCCCAGTATGGTCGTCTGAAGACACTCCCTTGGGTCTTTAGACCATCAGGGCCATGTTGTTACTGGCCTGTAAACAGGGAGAGGGGAAGAGGGTATCCACAGCTGGGAGGAGGGGCTGAGAGGAAGCTTTCAGGCTATAATTTGATAGGGAATTACACACCACTGAACTCAGTGGCAATTGTGTATAGGCTTTCCCCAGGAGGAAGAAGCCTCTGCTCAGATTCTGTGGGCTTAGAGCATCTTTAAAAAGAACAAAAATCAAGTCCCCATCACTGAGAAACTCTTACTATCTAAGAAAAAGACTAAAAACAACCATAGGAAGTGGCCTAGCAGACATGAATCAGTTTTTCCTTCCATTTGAATGGGGGAGGGAGGGGATGCCGGGGTAGGATAAGAGGAAAGGGGGAGGAGGGAGCTTTTCAAGCAAGAGGCAAAAACTTGGCGGGAAGCAGAAAAACTCAAAAGAAACTGAAGTGCCAATACATCTTCACATTTACATGACAATTCAGCATGATATAGCAGGTAGAGAGCTGGGCTCAGATACACACTAGCTTTGCCATGCTGGGCAAGTCACTGACATCCCTCAGTGTTCCACCCATGGTATCAAACTCAGAAATGGATCCTCGCAGGCTGCACACTGCCTTATAAAGCCACAAATCAACACTATTTGGGTTGTATTATATTTTTATTTCTTTTGTTAAATATTTTCCAAAACATGCTAATCGGGTTGGATAAGTGTCCAGGCTGAGAGTTTGACACGTCTGCTCTAGGCAACTCTCTCAAGAGAAGAGGTGATAACCAGCATTGATAGAGGGAGTGTCCTCACCTGGAGTTCCCTATCCTAGTGAAATCACAGATACTACCTCTCCTTACTTTCACCCTCCATTTCCTTCATTGCCTTCCCATGAAATCTCTTTGGTATGTAGTTGACACAGCATAGCATACAAAAGAAGAAACAAAGACAGAAAGACAGAAAGACAGATAGACAGATAGATAGATAGATAGATAGATAGATAGACAGACAGACATAGATAAGATAGAGGTTCCCTATTACCTCTAGCATCAAATATAAAATCCTATGAGTGGTTTTTAAAGCCCTCCATAACCTTCCCAGTCTCCTCATACTTTCCCCCTTCCACGTACCCCCACAATCCAGGGCTGCGCCTCACACAAGACACTATCTCCCACTCTGGGCATTTTCACTGGCTGTTCCCCCATCCCTGGAACACTCTTCCTCCTCATCTCTGTCTTCTGGTTTCCCAGTTAAATTTGCACCTTTTGAAAGAAACCTTTCCTGATTCCCCCTTAATTCTGGTGCCTTCCCTCTAAGATTATCTCTCATTTACCCTAGCTGTAGCTTATTTGTATATAGTTGTTTGCATGCTGTCTTCCCTGTTAGACTGGGAGCTCCTTGAGGGCAGGGCCTATCTTTGGCCTTTCTTTGTAACCACAGTGCCTGGCACCACTTAATAACTGATTGTCGATTTGACTTGACCCTGACACTTTAAAGTCTTCTTAGGGGCCCAGTGCAGGTACTCAGATTATGCTGAGAGTTTAAAAAAAAGAAACATACAACACATGTTGCCAGCCGGAGAGTGAATTTTTTTCACCAAAACAAAGTGAACGAGCAACTCAGTCTGACTTCATCAGAGGTAGAAGGTGAAGTGAGGGAGCCAATTTCCAGGGTGGATTCTTTGGCTCGAGTTGAAAAACCAGTCATTATTCAATTGACTCGATCACCACAGATAACCAAACTGGAAAATGTCACATCAAATCAAATCCGTTTTGAGGTTTACGCTGCATGATCAAAGCTTTATTTCTATTTGGCCATGCTTCCCAGAGGGATAGAGAGGGATGGACCACAAACCCACTCTGTCCTGGAATCCCAGTCCTGCGATGATGAACACCAAAGCCTAAAGAGCAGGGACTGCGGTTATGGCACTGTCCCAGAGTTGAGGGAGACCTGAAGCAGCTGTGGAGAATTTTAAACTCTTTTTCCAAACCTCTGAGGAGCTGGGACTTAGTGAATCTACTTGGGTAATACTGTCACATTCACATTAAAATGAGATGCCCAAGCAGTCTTGAGGATGCTGACACGGCTAAAAATTATACCAGGCTGCAACATCACATTTCCCCCTATAATTATTGCATTATGTGCCTAGAAGATACCATTATGTACTTTAACCTGGGGTTGCAGCAAGAAACTCCCCTGGAATTGAGGATTTTGAGTTGCTGAAATAATGATGTGGCAAGCACATTGCAGCCTTTGACCTGCATGGGCTAATCTGTTTTTGTGAGTAACAAAGACTTTGCTCTCCGGTGGCACCTGGGGAGCCATTAAGATTATAAAGCCAATCAATGTGGCATTGGCACACGTGTCTTGCTAGGTTGGAAGAGGCAGAGAAGAAAAGTAGACAGTTCCATGTCATCAAGGCCATGGCAGTTGGGTCACCAGATCTTGGAGGAGAATCAGAAGGGAGGATATCACAACTCCACCAAAGAGCATGGATTTTCCCAACAGCCTTTGCAGGCCCCCAAGTTCTTCTTAGTCTATTGCTTTTTGTTACAGGAGAAATTTCAACTGTCCCTGCATTTGTACAAATCTCAACTTCTCATCTTACTTACGGTAAAAGATGATTATTCCTTCAATGCTCTTGAGGTAGAAGCTAAGCTGCATTGTTTCATCCCTTTTTTAATTATTTTGGAAAACTTTTGAACCAGGACTGTGATTTCATTGACATTGGGAACTCCCAACATGGAAATACTCTCTTATCAATGGAGATCAGCACCCGTCTGCTACTGATGGTCGTGCAGAGCTGCCTAGGGCACTGAGAGGCGGAGTCACTTGCCACAGCCGGTATGGAAGACTTGAACCCGGATCTTAATGACTCTGGGATCCAATTTCCATACTGCATGCCATGCTGGATCACACATTTAAGTATAAAGATTATGTGAAGTTCAGTTTCTTAAAATTTCTTTTTTTCTTCAATTCAGTTCCATAAATGGGCATCATATCTTCTTTGATTTACTGTCTTTGGATATTCCAATATCACCATGTAAACTGTGGCTAAAAGTATTGATTGCTATACTTTCTAGACTCCATTGTGTCAAGACTATTTTCTGTAATACAGACTCAGAATGTAACTAGTGGATGCTTGCAAATTAGTTCATTAACTAACTCTTTGAATGAGTTAATTTATTATTACTATGAATAACAGGCTTGCAAAGCCCTTTATATGTCTCATCTCATTTAATCCTCACAACAGCTCTGTGAGGTGGGTGTTATTATTATCCCCATTTTACAGATGAGGAAACTGAGGCTGAGAGCAGCTAAGTGACTTGCCCAGGGTCACAAAGCTAGTGAGTGTCTGTGTCCAGATTGGAGCTCTAAGTTCAGCACTTTACACACCTTGCCACCTAAGTTTCAATACTACAATAGTACAGATTGTTCTTTTTTGTGAAAAGAGTACTGGACTTGAAATCAGAAGAGTCCTGTGTTAAAACCCCACTTCTGCGGGTAAGTCACATAACATTTTCAAGCCTCAGTTTCCTCCATTGTAAAATGGAGATGATATTCCCTGTCATACTTACCTCAAAGAGCTATTGCGAGGAATAAGAAAGATAATGTACATAAGGTGCTTTGCAAACCTGAAAGTGTTACGTACCTACCAACTATCGTCATTATTATTTTTAGGTTGAAATGCTCTCAAATTTAGATTTAATTTCTGAATTCTCTTAATTGATTTAAAAAATTAAACCTATCTTAGCAATACCGTACCCTTTGAAAGTCTTGCTTTTCTATCTTTTCCTGATATCAGTCATCTGTAATCAAACCAGTTGTTTTTAAATCTCTTAATCCTCATCATTATTCTGTTCATTTGTCTAAATTTTTGTGATCACCACATTCACCCATCTTTGTAGACTGTCTTCATTTGCTATTTAGTACAACTTTATCTAATGCTTATCTGTCATTGGTGAATAACATCTCTTTCTATAGTCATGTATGTTTCTTTATAAATATTTTTTATAGAAATAGCAATCATAAGTGGATAGAAACTAAAAAGAAATCCAGTGCCCTGATTAATTGCATCGCTTTCTAGCAGATCAATTTGTGGACCTTGTTTTATTAGCTCTGTCTAGTATTCTCTATGTCCTAGCAGAAGTCACTATACACGTATTTGTGGGCAACCTTTTACATTTCTTTCGACTTCACAGAATCCTCTTTCTGTAGAAGGGAAGAAAAAGTGAGGATGGAGAAAAAGAAGATATTGTCCTTTTAAAACTGCTTCTTACCTTTCCTCGAGTCAAATGGAGAAGCACAGGTGTCTTCAAAGCTGCCAAATTCTCTTTTCCTATGATTTGGGAGATTTTTTTCCCATTGAAGATGTTCTTTCCTCCTTCCCTTTGATTTGCATTTTCAACATTAACGTCTTTTATCTGTAACCAAGTAAGAAGTACATTAGGGAAACATTCTGTATCTCTGTCTTCAAAGAGCTATGGGAAGTGAGACGGGATAAGATATTATAAGGTTAACAGGAATGGAAGTAAACTCTTTGGATTCCCCCCCACCCCCGCTAAGATTTGGCTTCACCACAGACTATGAGGCTTAAGGAGATGGTTAAGATGAACATCTGAGATCAAATATCTATTTGACTGGGGGCAGATCTTTTAAAATGTCAGAGACTTGAGTAGAATTTATCTATGCTATTTTCAATTTCTTGATTAATTCAGGTAGACTTCCACCCCCATTTCCCCAAAACCTTCTTGCTTCTAATTTGTACATAATTCAGAAAACAATAACATCATATGGAATCAGAGAACTTCTGAGTTAGAAAGGACTCTCTAGTCCCTTAAAAGGACATCCAGTCCAACGTATATGTGAAAAAGAGTTCCCTCTACACTGTACATTCCAAAGTGGTATGTAGCCTTTGCTTAAAGCCATCCAATGCAGGACAGAAGTCACCACTTCCCAATGCAACCCATTCCACTGGTGTATAGCCTTCGTTGTTGGAAAATTTTTCTTTGTATCAAGACTAAACAATTTGTCTCCTTCCATGTATTGCTCCTAGTACCGCTTGCTACGGCTAAGGAGAACAAATCTATTCTCTCTGCCGTAGCACCATTCAATTACTTGGAGTCAGCTATCATGGTCCCCCAAGTCTTCTTTACTCTACGCAAATCATCCCAGTCCCTTTGATGACTGTATATGAGACCCTTCTCCGTCCTGGTTGTCCTTCTCTGGATGTTTTCCACCCTATCAACACTCTTCCTAAAATGTGTTGTCCAGAACTGAATATAGTGCTTCAGATCAGAGTACAGAGACACTACCATCTCCCTATTTCGAAAAGTTATGATGCCATTGCAGCCCATTGAATGCTATATCACACTGTTGGCTCCTACTGACCTTGCAGTCCACTAAACCCCCCAGATCTTTATCAGATGAATTGCTATCTAGCCATGCTTTTCCCACCCTGCACTTGTGAAGCTGAGTTTTTGAATTTGTATAAGGTTATATAATGGTCCCCATTATATTTAATGTTATCCATTTTGTCCCAGTGTTCTTTCTTTTCTGGATCTCTTAGAATTCTGACTATTATCCAGTGTGTTGATAAGCATGCCATTTATGTCTTTATCTAAGTCACTGATCAAAATGTTTGAAAATACAAGGCCAAGAACAATCACTCACTGGAGAGTTCCTTCTTAGTTGACACCAAGCTATTAATAATTACTTTTTTTGAGGGGGCAAAGGAATCTTTATTGGGGATACCTCTTACAAGGCTCCAGAGCAGAAAGGCTGAGACCCACCCCTCAACACACATATACACACTTAAAAGGGGCTAGTGACACAGCTGGAGGCCTATGAACCTAGGATCTTCAACAACAGGGGTTAGGAGGTCAGGCTACGAATTTCCCTGCCGACCCCCCAGAGACACGGGAAAGTTTTGGCTTTGCTGGGATTCCATGTTGAATCATTGCCACAGAAGCATGTATTTAGAGATGGAAGGGACCTTCAAAGTCATATAGTCTCATCTTACAGTTGAGGAAACTGAGGCCCAGAGATAAATGACTTTCCCAATATTCCCATGCTCACACATAAATGGGAGAGTCAGGATTTGAACCAAGTACTTCTTTCCCATACGTGATGCTGCCTCCCTTTAATTATTATTTTTTTTTTTTGCTGGAGATAAGTGGGCCACTGCCTTTCTCTTCCTCAACAAATTTATGTTGAAACCAAGTTCACACTGTATCTAGTTTCTCAAGCAATGGAGTTGGTGGTGAGGGGCAGGGCAGGGATGGGGGGAGAGGTTATTTTACCCCCAACCACCTGTGGTTAGAGCAGGGATGGGCAGAAACTGAACCCTAGAAGTGTCCTTGATTCTCATTCTGAGTCCCAGTTTGGTGATGAGTTCCCTGTACAGCATTCCCTAACTGGATGGTTTCCCTCCTGTCTAAGTCTTGCTCTTTTGAGTACAGTCATTCAATCAATTCTGAATCCTCAGACTTGCACTATCATCTAGTCTGTACCTTTACATTCTTTCCCAAGAGTAACACAAGTGCAAAGTCCTTCACCTGGCATTCCTTAGCCTTCACCTGGACCCTTTCCAATCTGGCACCACCTTATTCTTCTAGACTTATCTGATATCATCCCCCGTGCGGACTTGATGTTCAAGCCAAACTTGATTAAGCACTGTCCCTGCATACATTCTTGCTTTCTTGCCCTCTCTCAGCCTTTTTCGTGCCCCATACTTTAAATAATCCCCCTTTAAAACCCATCTCAGGGCCCTCTTCTCCATGGAGCTTTCCCTGATCCCCTGGGTCAGTAAAATCCTTCCCTGTTAGAACTCACGTTACTAGACCATGCTCTCAACGGCCTAGAGTCGCTCCCTAGTGTAGCCCTCCCATAATACTGGGTACAATAATTACCTGCCAGTGTGTCATTTCTATACTGAACTGTAAACTCCATAAATACAGGGACTATATATCATTTAAACTCTGCATTTCTTCCAGTGACTAGCATCATGATCTGCAACTGATCAGTGCTAAATAAATGCTTATTGAATGAACGAGTGAATGAAAGAATGAATGAATAAGAACAATATTTTCTATAGGCTATGATCATAGCCCAAGGAGAAACAACTCAAAAAGTGGGAAGGACTACTGAGTTTTTAACTAGGCTAGGAAGACGTAAAGATGTTAGACATAAGCATTCCGTTCCAAGAAGAATAAGGAAGCAAAAGTGACTTAGACCATGTATCTGAGGTAAACCTCATTTTAAAATATTTTAATATTCCACAGATTCAATTGCATTGGATCAAATCATTTTCCATGTAATATCATACATTTGTGTCCATATAACAAAAGTTGCCTATTAAAGGGGTGTTTTCCTTAGCCCTTCATGCCATCAAAGCTATACCCATCAAGGATTTGATAGGGCTCCACGGTATTTAGGAAACGGGAAACTAGAGTTCTAGAAAATAACTCAGAAAGTCATAGATTTTTAAAGCTGAAAAGTATGTTAACAGTCATCCAATAACTCCACTTCATGCCCAAATCTCTTCTACAACATGCTAGTAGCTGGCATTCACTGCTGGTTCAAATGCTTCTTGTGACATGGAGCCCTTTTGTTTGTCGGTTCCATTGCTGGACAGCTCCAATTGTTAAAATGTTCTTTATTTTGAGAGAATATCTGCTTCCTTATAACTTCTGTCCACTAATCCTGCTTCTGCCCTCAGAAACAACACTCACTAAAAATTATAACGAATGAACACAAGACACCTCAAGGAGGTTAAAAGAAAAAGAGTAAAAAGTCCCACATATTTAAAAAGAAATTGTACCAACACTTCTTGTAATAGTAAAGGACTAGAAACAAAGTGGGTTTGTATCATTTGGGGAAAGGCTGAACAAACTGTGATACATGAATATTGTATCATAAGGAATGATGAAAATGAAGAATTCAAAGAAACTTAGGAAGACTTACATGAACTGATACAAACAAAATAAGCAAAACCATGAAAACAATTTATACAGCTGACACAATAATGTAAAGGAAAACAACACTGAAAACCTTTGGAACTCTGATCAATGGAGTAAAGAGCCATGTTGTTAGAAGATATACGGTAGCATGTGCCTGCTGCTTCTCATAGAGGGGACCTAAGGTGCTCGAGGAGGCACATGTGATACAACATGGCCAATTTGTTGATTTGTCTGCTTGCCTGTACTGTACTTAATGGCTACGAGAGGGACATACAGCGTGACTGTATGAGGTGATCAGTAGAAAGACAGCATCAGTAATTCTTAAGAGAGGCAGTTAGGTGGTGCTGAATTCTGGGCTTGGGAGTGAGGAATACTTGAGTTCAAGTCTTGCTTCAGACCCTTACTTAGCTGTGTGACCTTGGGTGAGTCACATAACCATTTCTCAGTCTGAGTTTTCTCATCAGTAAAATGAGAGGGATGGACTCATTGGCCTCTAAGGTGTCTTCCTCTAAGCTCAGTGATCCTCTAAATCTCCCTGTGACATGCCTTGCCTTACTTACCTCTCTGAGGCAACTCTCCCTTGTACATCCTCTCATTTATCAGCGTTTTCCTTAAAAGCGTGGTGCCCAGAGGTAGACACCTTTCTGGTGGTACAGAATACGGTTACCCAAGTTCTGGGGCAGCTAAAACCCACGGATCCACTTTAGTGACTGGTCACAAACACATAAGAACACGGCCACTCGCTCTGGGTGGCTGCCCATCTCCAGGATTCCCTCTGGCACGTAGGTTTTCTGTCCCAAGAAGAGAAAATGCTCACCGTGACTTTAATCAGCTGGTCATCATCCCCATCCGGATTCCTCCACAGAAGGACAACGTCTACGTTAGAAGAAATTTTGTAGCCCACACCATCCTGGAGCGATTCTCCCACCCGGTTAACAAACACTTCCGTGGAGTATGTGAGTTTATACAACCTGTCATTGTTCAGGGAGAGTCCAGTGGTGTGGCCTGGATGAGGAACATGAAGGAAGACATATAAAGGCATTTTTAAATTTTCCCACAGAAGGCTGTTGACCCAGCTTCCCCACTCTCTAAATTTACTTCAGTTTGCAACAATTTTCTTCTTTCATAATATCATTTCTAACATCTCCATTTTATCTCTAGGCAACCAGGTATCTAGTGCAATGGATTTGGAATCAGGGAGTCCTGAGTTCGAGGGTGAAATGTTTAACAACTAGCTTTAAGGGGGGGGAGGAATACACAGGACATACTTTTAAATCTAATCTTCATTACTAATGTCTTTTTCCCATCACTTTCTTAAATCTAGACAATTAACAAAATAATAAATCAAGCTCTGATGTGTAGCCTTTGCCAATTTCCTAGCTATAAATGCTCAAACTGAAAATTTAACAATCAGTTCTTGAGAGCCCTAGGAGCTGGCTCAAGTATGCTGGCTCCTGCAATTATAATGACCTGAGTTCAAAACCTGCCTCAGAAACTTACTTTGCTATATGACCCTGGGAAAGTCACTTAGCGTCTCTTAGTCTTCTCCTTTATAAAATGGGGATAGTAATAGCTCCTACCTCCCAATGTTGTTGTGAGGATCCAATGAGATAATACTTATAATGTGCTTAGCACAATGCCTGGCATGTAGTAGGTGCTTAATCAATGCTTATTCCCTTCCTTTTCTCATCCTCCTTATGCAAGTTTCTTGGAAGGGGTCCAGAGGCTTCACCAGAGTGCCAAAGGGGTCCATAACACCTAAAAGGTGAAGACTGCCTGAGGTCAAGTGATTCCCCCATGGTCACACAGGGATAAGGCTCCAGAAGCAGACTGCCCCAACGTCTTCCTGCCTACATTCTCCCCGGGAGCACCTTCCTTTGCTTCAAGTACATACAGCAAAATAAATTAATTTACTAAATGGTACCTGTTAGAGATTGTAGCAAAATCGACTTTAGTGAAGTGATAAGAATTGTTTATAATTAGCAGGGGCTTTTTTTGTGGGAAAAGCTTAATAAAAATATTTAGTGTTTAAAAATAGGTTCTTAACTAGGCTAACCATTTCTCCAATCTAATTTGCTATGCCTACTTGTTGAGCAAATTCTTCTCGTACATCGTAAGATAAATTTCATTGCGACTTGCCTTTGAAGAATCATTAGCAAACTCTAAATAAACAAGTTTCCGGTAGTATCTTATCACAAAATCAAGGAAGCAACTTTGTGCAGTGGCAGGAACATGAGTGTAGAGAAATGTGAGCTGGGTTTGAACCTCTTCTTTGCCACCTACTACCTCTGGACAGTTACTTTCTGCCTCATTTTTGTTTTCTGTAAAAGGAGGGGGCTGGCCTGGACGGTTCTCAGATCTCTTCCAGCACTAAAGTCATGAAGCAATGGTACCTGACCAGGAGCAAACAAATGTCATGTTTTATCCAAAAGCTACGTAGAATCTAGGACTTAAAGTAACAGCAACAACAGTTTTCCCACTCCTCTCAAGAGAGAATTAGAAATAATTTACTTTAAATGCTCTTTGAAGAACTTGAAACAGAGTAGATATCCATCAATTAAGATATGACTAAAAAAATTGGTAAGTGAATGAAATGGAAAATTACTACACTTTAAGAAATGATGACTATGAGGAATTGGAAGGAGGTTGGGGAGACTGACATGTCGATGCAGAATGAAACAAGCAGAACCCACAGAGCAAGATGCACAATGAATACAATAATGTAAATGTAAAAAACAAAAAAATCAAATGCCGTATAAACATAATGATCAATGACTCAAAGAAGAGATAAGAAACTTTATCTTTCTCCTTTCTTTGAATAGATGGGGGACGATGGATGTGGAACTTTGCATATACAGACAGCTCATGGTTAGTTTTGCTAAAGTGGTTTTTTTCCACTTTTTTATTCTTTGTTACATGGGATGACTCTATGACTAGGGGAAAAGGGAGGGGATTTATGTGGAGATAAAAGACAGAAAAACAAAGGCATGAATTAAATTGATTTTTAAAATATTGTGGCACTAATTGTGTGAAATCGAGCGAGCTGCTTTGCCCATCTGGGGTGCCTGTTCCCTTATTTGTCAAATGAAGGGGTTGTAACTAGACAGGTGATCCAGCTTATCGCCAAGGTTCCTTTTATCTCTAAAGTTCTAGGATTTCGGAGACCAAAAAAGGAGTCCCAATACAGCTTTACAATTGAGCTAGGATTAAGGCTCAGCAGTCAGGAGCTATTCAGGGCATGCCACACAAGGGTGCACAGTGGGGAACACTTTTGGTAGGATTTTTTTAAATGCACATATGATTAATGCCAGAAAACTCTGGTCTCCATGGAGGTGAGGTATTTCTTTTATGATAAAATGCTACAAGGAAGACAAAGACTCCAGTAAACAATAACACACCACAGCATAATTTTCAGATTGGGATAACATTTTCAAATTGAGGGGTGGGGGGAGAAATAATATTCAAACCTTGGAAAATGACTTCCTCTGGCTTTCTCAACATACTTTTTTTTCCTTAGTACCTACCTTCATTTCTCTTTAAAAAAAAGTTTTTGTTTTTTTTTTGTTTTTTTTTTCCGGCCTCAGACATGTAACACTTATTAGCTGTGCGACCCTGGGCAAGTCACTTAACCCCAATTGCCTCACCAAAAAGCAAAAAAAAATTTTTTTTATTTAAGACCTGTGATTATATCTGGGTCTGGAATTCCTAGGAAACTCCTACCAACACAGATCAGCAACTGCTCTGCAATTTATAGTCTTAAAAAATTGTCTGGGGACCATTGGAAGAGACATGATTTGCCCAGGGTCACACTGTCAGAAATATATCTATCCACTAAAGCAGGCTGTCTTCTTAGTCCCTTATCTTAAAAATATAGTGTCTCTTCTCTCTTCTCTCTCTCTCTCTCTCTCTCTCATTCACTCACTCATACATACATACACACACATACACACACACAGAGATGAGGGCACTTGCCTTTAACATACAAATGAAGAAAAGAAAATAAAGAAACCTTAGGTGGAACCTTAAATTTGTCTTCTTTTGAAGGGTGATTAAATGAGATCAACTTTCCAGCCAGACCAAAGAAGAGGCAGGAGATACAGAGCTGACTCAGGAAGATGGGGGTCTGGAATCCAGGCCCTTTCTGAGCCCAGAGCAAATCCTCAGGTTCCCTGTTTACATCTGTGAAGCCATGGAACTCGACTGGATGACCTCCAAGTGCCTCCAGCTTTAAATCAATGATCTCCTCATTTCTGATCCTTGCCCCTATTCTTCCACCCTAAAAGTTTATGCTAAAATTTTGAGTTCACGCTAAATTGAACCCTTTAGAAATTAGACTTTAATCTGATGGCCCTTTCAATCTTTCATTCTGTAAGTGATTTTTCAACACTTTCACATTCTCCGTTTGATGACTTTATGTATTTCAATACGGCACATGCCGAGTGGTCAAAACACACTAACCAAAAGGAAGAATGTCTGATGGTTGAACTATAAACATGGTTTCAGGCTCACTAGGGAGATAGTCTGTAGACAGGCAACCCTTCAACTCTTCTTTTGCAAAAGACTAACCTGCCAGGGGGTTATTTCTCATAAGTCATAATTATAACTGGTATCTATTCCATGCGCCCTTAACTTTGATTTATTATTTAACCCAGGGTCTGAGGTGATGGTAATTTGGGTTACGATGACCTTCCCCATTCACCAAGTGTCGATGAGGTCGGTCAAACTCGGAGCAAAAAGCAAAGCAAACAAAGATAGAGAGACAGTGATTCCCAACAGACGGAGGTGAAACATCTCTCCTTCCTTTCTTTGCCCTTGAGAGAGGCTTAGTGCTGGGAGAACTAAAGGGAGGAGCAGAGAGTGAGGCTGTAGCTCCGTTTACCACATAGCTAGCAGGGACTGGGTGGCCTTAGCATGCAGTCTGCTACAGGAGTGCCACCATCTGACCCAAAGATTGTACTGGGAGTCATTAGGAGCAACGGACAGGAGAGCAGAGATGCGAGCTTCCAACCACAATGGATCAGCATCATGAGTGGGGTCCTGAAACGGAGGCAGATTCCAGACTGGGAGATCTAAGGAACCTCAACGGCTGGTGAGACTAGAGAAGGATAGCTTTCTTCCACCATGTTTCTTTTGGTATAATTTCCTGACTCTGAGAGGAGTCACAAACGTACAACTCCCTCCCCTCAATCTTCCATAACTCTGGAAATCTGGGAGGACTAGAAAGAGGTTGTAGGTTCAGGAGATGATTAGACATAGTTTTCTTTTTTCTTTTTCTTTTTTTTTTTAAGGCGATTGGGGTTAAGTGGCTTGCCCAGGGTCACACAGCTGGTAAGTGTCAAGTGTTGGTCTGAGGTTGGATTTGAACTCAGTTCCTCCTGACTTCAGGGCCGGTGCTCTATCCACTGCGCCACCTAGCTGCCCCGTAGTTTTCTTTTTATTTTCCATATGTGCAATACAGAGTATAGCCATAGACCATTGATTTTCTGTTTTCTCTGAATGTGAAGAAAAAGAAAAAAAGGAAAATTCTAGATGTCAGATGAGTGAGTAGCAAGCCTGAGCCTTTCCTATATACTCAGTTCTGCCTTAATGCTTGTTTGGAAAATGCGAATTTATTCCAACAGAATGACATATTAGAGAACAAGCAGGATATTTTTAATTTCAAGCTTGCTTATGTGAGTTTTTTTTTAAGTGAGACAGTTTTGATAGGCTATTTTATTTTATTTTTGGAGGCAATTGGGGTTAAGTGACTTGCCCAGGGTCATACAGCTAGTAAGTGTCTGAGGCTGGATTTGAACTTAGGTCCTCCTGACTCCAGGGCTGGAGCTCTATCTATATCCACTCTATTCACTAGTTGTCCCCCCACCCTTTTTAAGGAGATATTTATTTTCCAAACATCACTATTTTAGTCTCTTTTGAAAAATAGGTTTCAATGAGCTTCTTTGTGCATGAAGTTACCCATAGGGAGTCACTCACCAAATAGTTCCTTTTCCAATACTGAATAGGCT